ATTCCTTCTTTGAGGAAATTATAAGTTCTTCTTTCAACACATTTATACTATTCTTGTCTGTATTCTACCACAAAATAGTAACTGCATTTTACAGAAAATCCTGCGAAGCACTCAAGACATATTGTTTTATATTGCTACTTAAAAAGAATTGTGCTTAAGAGGTTCGACTTGATATCCCCTTCTTACTCCAAATGTATTTGTTTTAACTCATGTCCCTTTGAACCTATTCCTATAGCGGGAAATTACTTGAGCCAAGTATTCTTCCTTTTCCTACAGGAGACATGAATACCAGAACAGCTAAGCTCCAATCAGTTTACAATATAGGGTCAACTTATGATGTGTAACTGAAAACCAAAGCAAAATATTGTCAAAGCTTTTACGAAATAGGGCGACTTTTAACAATAATATTCCATGCATTTGATGTAGTGCCTTATCACATTGTTAAGAGGTCTCAAAAGAGTAAACTGTAAAAGTGGATTGTACTTTGCAGACGAAATGTGGCAGTCAGTTGCGCACAGCAATATCCCACGAAAATCCATGGAGTGAGTTATTGGAGGGATTGTTGGCCGGCACACCGGGAGAAACTCCCTTCTCTTTTCGAATATTGCCATGGAGTTCTTAACATCCACTTGAACAGGCAGAGGGGCCTTTGGTTTACCGTCTCATCCGACAATGCAACCCCTCCCCCCGAGCAGTACACCATTGGAGTGTATACTGTGCATTTTGTGGTCATTGATGAATTAAACTCTGACGCACAAGCGAAGGGGCTACATAAATGAAAGTTTTTGAATATTGAATATGTTTTCAAATCCCTTCATGCCCTGGCACTTCCCTACTTCTCTGACCTGCTTACCCCCAACACACAGCCTCCGCTTGACTAGTTCCAGCCTTCTGGATGTCCTTCATCCCCTCCCATTTGACCATTGGTGGCTGCGCTTTCAGCCCCTACGCCCCAAAACTCTGGAACACTTTTCCTCTATCCCTCCGCCTGCCCCTTCCTTCCTCATCTTCAGGTCACGCCTGAAGATCTTCCTATTGAATGGTTTGGTCACCATCCTTCCCCCCCTGCCCTTTACCCTCCTGATCCCGAACCCCAGCTCGGATCCGACGTCCTCCTGACGTGAAAGGCGCTATACAAATGTAATATTTGTTTTGTTTGTTGGTTGTGCCTCTGCGTCTCGTGCTTCATCACTGTCAAGCGCTCTGGGGTGTTACCCTGCGCGAGGGCGCTACATAAATGCAAGTCGTTGTTACGAATATTTTCAGTGCAGTTGCAGAAACATTGAAATCTGATGCGACAGTCAGATAAACTATTTCTGTGGTACCTCGCAGGGAGAGTGGCAGACCTATTTGCCAGGGAACCAGACCCAATGTCCGATAAACTCTTTGTCTCTCTCTCTACATTTCCTGCAACCTGGTAGCAAAGACCCTGTTTAGATAGCAGTGATTTTGGTACGTGGGCCAAACAGGACCTTGGGGCGAAATCTTAGGTCTAATTAAAAAAAAGGATTCATTTTTGCAATCGACATAACGCCTTTCACACAGGATTGTCACAAAGTGAACTGACCAATGTTTTTTTTTAAATCAGGGGAATTGTTGGGACAGGAGTTTGGGAGCGAAGAACTCCCGTCTCTTTCCGAACAGCCCGGCAGGATCTTTAACGACCGGACCACCTGAACAGGCAGACGGGAACTCGGTTTAACGTCTCATCCGAAGGGCGGCACCTCTTAAGAGGACGCAACACCTCCACCGTCCCCCCAGCGCCGCGTTGGAACGTCAGTTTAAGACTCTGCGACTCCAAATCCCGACGTGGGGAGCTTGAACCCGCAACCTTGTGAGTCGGGAGGCGAGAGCGAGCCCACCGAGGCTGACACACTGCTAAGATCTGCGGAGAGATGGAGGGAGAGAGAGAGAGAGAGAGAGGCGCACCGACCGGGATGAAGTGGGAAGAGAAAGAAACGTGACCCGAGGACATGACCGTGTGAGTCAAGTTATTTCAACCCCACCCCCTCCTCCCCCTTGTGAGGAGGTTTCTTGAGGAGGTTGGTGAGACCTTCAAGGCCGGTCTCAAGACCTTTCTCTTTGACCGAGCCTTCAGCTCCTCTCTCGACTCTCTACCCCCTTCTCGCTCCCTCCCTTCCCTCCCCTCCCCCTGACCATCTCCCCCCTCCTCGCTCCCTCCCTTCCCTCCCCTCACCCTGACCATCTCCCCCCTCCTCGCCCCCCTCCCCCCCCCTGACCATCTCCCCCCTCCTCGCTCCCTCCCTTCCCTCCCCTCCCCTGACCATCCCCCCCCTCGCCCCCTCCCTTCCCTCCCCTCCCCTGACCATCCCCCCCTCCTCGCCCCCTCCCTTCCCTCCCCTCACCCTGATCATCTCCCCCTCCTCGCTCCCTCCCTTCCCTCCCCTCACCCTGACCATCTCCCCCCTCCTCGCTCCCTCCCTTCCCCCTCCCCTGACCATCCCCCCCCTCCCTCCCCTCACCCTGACCATCCCCCCCCTCCTCGCCCCCTCCCTTCCCTCCCCTCACCCTGATCATCTCCCCCTCCTCGCTCCCTCCCTTCCCTCCCCTCACCCTGACCATCTCCCCCCTCCTCGCTCCCTCCCTTCCCTCCCCTCACCCTGACCATCTCCCCCTTCCTCGCTCCCTCCCTTCCCTCCACCTGACCATTTCCCCGCTGCTCGGGTCCCGACCCAACTGTCCGGCGCCTCGGGACGTCCTCCCGACGTGAAAGGCGCTCTCTAAATGCAATCTGTGGAGTCCTGTAGCTCAGCGGTTAGAGCACTCGCTTTGCGAGCGAGAGACCTGAGTTCAATTCCCGGCAGAGGGCGAAACCTCGGGCAAGTTTCCTTACTCCGCACAGAGCCTAATAATAATCCCTCCAAAACCAAAAACAATAATAAATTGGTCATTTTCAATCCACGACTGTTTGTGGGGCATTGCTGTGCGCAATCGGCCGCCGCCTTCGCCCACAAATACACAGTCAATTCACTTTACGGTGTGTTCTGCGCAGCGCTTTGGGACGTCCTCCCGACGTGAAAAGCGCTCTATCAAATGCGAGGATTATTATTACTAATCTTGTTGTTGTTGTTGTTGTGAGGGGTGAGGGGTGGAGGGGGAGTGAGGGAACGGGTAAAATCACAACTATACCATTGAAAAGAGAGAGAGACGTACAAGTTAATCGCAATCTGCTCGGAGAGTTCCAGACGACCCGAGTGGAAGGGAGAAGGAGAGAGTGGGGGCGGGGCGATGGGGGGGGACGACGACGACGACGACGACAAAACAACCTGTCAACTGTTCGACAGACACGCAGCGGCCTCCGCCCCTTCGCCCGCCGGCGCCGCCATCTTGCGGCGGCGACGCCGTCCGCCGTCCTGTCAGGGCCGCCCCGCCGCGGAGGGGAGACGCCCGCACGACGCCATTTTGTACAATCCTGAACCGCCGCGCACGCACACACACGCGCGCAAACAACACAACACAACTCCTCTCTGTCCCGGAGGAGAAATCATTCTCATGGAAACGACGTGCGCATTAAACTGGGTGGGTGTTTGAAAGCGTTTTATTGTTTTTTGGGGGGAGGGGGTTGGAAAGAGAAGGACAACGCTTCGGTGGCGTTGTGTAACCTCCTCGCTGTGAGTCGGTCGGGGACTCTTTTTCGTCTCCCCTTCCCTCCCCTCCAAGGGCTGAGGCTGAGGGTGAGGCAGAAATCGCCCAAAAAGTAGCCCAACGGTCTACGTGACATGACATAACCGATCGAAGGGTTTTTAGTGCTTTATTTGATATATATATTTAAAAAAACTGCGTTAAAATAAAAGATCTTCTCTTACCACCACCGCCCCCCCCTCCCCCGCCGCAAAAAAAAAACAAAATAAGAAAAAGTTTCAATCTGTTTTAAAAAAATACGAACCGAAGCCGTATTTCCTCCCCCCCCCACACACACACACACTCCACCCCGCCCAATTGGACGTGAAACCCGCCCAATCTGGGCAACCGATTGTGTGCATATGTTTGCGCGAACATTGAACAGATTGGGAGGGGGATGGGATTCACGCCCAATTGTGCGGTTTTTGTTGTTGTTGTTGTTGCTGTGTGTTTGTCAGGCCCGGTGTGGGTGGGGGTTTTTTTTTTCGCGCGTGGTGTTGCTTCGAAGGCATTCTCTCTGACGCCATTAGAAAAAAAACGCAACTCCAACTCAAATCAGCCCCCGACGCCTAAACATATATATATAGAGAGAGAGAGAGGAGGTTATGACGTATTCTTGGGCTACTTTGGTGGAGGGGGGGTGGGGCGGACAGAAGGGGAGAAATGGCGTTCGGGCTACTTGTGGGCTACTTGGGGGGGAGAAGGGGCGGACAGAGTGGAGAGAAATGGCGTTCGGGCTACTTGTGGGCTACTTTGGGAGGGGGAAAGGCGGACAGAGGGGGAGAAATGGCGTTCGGGCTACTTGTGGGCTACTTTGGGGGGGGGAAGGGGCGGACAGAGGGGAGAGAAATGGCGTTCGGGCTACTTGTGGGCTACTTTGGGAGGGGGGAAGGGGCGGACAGAGTGGAGAGAAATGGCGCTCGGGCTACTTTCGCGCGACTTTTGGGCTACGCAGCGCCGGCCGGCAGGGCCACCCTGGATGTGACGTGGGAGGCGGCGCCCCAAACACTCCCTTAATGGCGGCCGAAAAAAAATGTTGACGAAAGAGAGAGTGGAGGCGGCCGGGCCCAGCCAGGCCTGAGCGAGACACGGCGGCCACAGCCACGGCGGCAGCGGCGGCAACGGCCGAGCGCCTCTCCTTTCCTTTCGACCGTCGCTTTGCACAGCCGTCATTATTGTCCTATCCGTAACCACAGGAGTAAAGGGAGGAGAAGAGGAAAGAAGGAGGAGAAGGAAGAAGAGGAAAAAGAAAAGAGGGAAACCCTCCTCCCCCCACCACCACCACCACCACCACAGCCGCCGCCGCCACACACACACACACACACACCTCTTTTAAATAGCTTTATTTTGGAAGGGAGGGAGGGAGGGAAAGGTTTTTATGTCTCGAAAAAGAAAACTCTGCAGCCTGGTGGTCGAAAGATTGCATCGTACAAGTCGGACAAAAAAAAATCATGTGTGAATGATACCGACAGCTTTTCCCCCTCTTCCCAATACATACACACACACACATATATATTAAAAAAAAAGATAGGATTTGTTTTATAGATAGATATCCAGTAAATACACATCGCACACACACATCACACACACACGTATATGTGTGTGGAAGAAACCATGGCTGAGACCACCTCTACCTCTGCTAAAGTCTCTCCGTTAGAATCAGGTAAGGAAGGAGGAAAGAAAGAAAGAAAGAAAGTAAGAAAGAAAGAAAAAAGGGGGAAAAAAAATTAAAAAAAAAAAAAAAAAATCTTTAAAATGCCCTTCATTCTGGTTTTTTTTAAAAAAAATTTAAATCTCTCTCTCGTTCCTTTTGTTTAAGGGAAAGAGAGTGGTTGGGGGGTGGGTTAAGGGAAGGAAAGGGAAAGAAAAAGCAAAAAAAAAACTTAATTTTAATGCTGTATTTCCAGAACTCTACTTCCTAATCGCTCGCCTACTCTCGGCCGGTCCTTGCCAAAAGTCCGCAGAGGTGAGTTTTGAATTATTTTACACAATTAAACATTTGGTACGTGCTTATATCAAATAAATCAATCAATCAATCTAGCATTTAGCCTCTTGCAAACCAAAACATATATTTTTTTACCCCCCCCCCCTTTTTTTTAGGTGCTGGTGCGGGAACTGGAGGAGAATGAGGTGTGTATATTTCTGGCCGGCTCCTCTGTCTGTCTGTCTGTCTGCCCATCTGTCTCTTTCTCTGTGCGTCTCTCCCTCTCTGCCCCCTTTCGCCTGCTGCTCTTATTCAGCCTCTTATGTCACTCCAATGCTATCTGATTTGACGGTGTCTTTCTCCCCCTCATAGTGCATTAATAATAATAATCCTTGCATTTGATACAGCGCCTTATGTCGTTGAGACTTCTCAAAGCGCTTCACAGAAGTGACTATCTTATTGGCAAAATAATCACAAACCTCACCCTATATTAAAAGACAACTTGTTTCTCTTCCCCCCCCCCACACACACCTCTCTTAACACTTCCTCTCCCCACCCCTTTCCCGCCCCTCCTTCCCCTCACAGCTTCTTCCAAAGCGTCTGGACTGGGAAGGCAGCGAACACCACAGGAGCTATGAAAACTTTGTGAGTGTTTATTTTATATTCACCACCGAACTGAAATACGAATGTCGGAGAGAGATGGGGTGGGAGAAAAAAAGTTGTTCGTGAATCTCTTAAAGGGGGGGGGGACGGCAAAAAAAAAGTTACTTTTATAAGGGAATTGTGGAATTATTTTTCTTCCCCCCCCCCCCCATAATAATATTTATGGAAGTGGGGAAGGTGTAATAAATGTGTTGAGGTCAGAGATAATTATTTAATCCTATGATGTATTGACGTGGTGGTGGAGGGGGGGGGGCCGGGAGGCGGGTCTGGCCTCTCCTGGCCAATCGGGACTCTTCTTTCATCACGCCTGGCCCTGAGTGCTGCTGTGTCCTGGCCTCTGATTGGCCCCTCTTAGCCTTGCGGCTGCGCATGTGCCATAGAGCTGATTGACAGCTACAGTCCTGGAGGTACCAGTGTGCAATACCACAACAACAACAACAACAAGATTCCGTTTATAGAGCGCCTTTCACGTCGGGAGGACGTCCCGAAGCGCTGGACGGTTGGGTCACGAACCCGAGCATTGGGGGGAAATGGTCAGGGTGAGGGGAGGGGAGGGAGGGAGCGAGGAGGGGGTAGAGAGTCGAGAGGGGAGCTGAAGGCACAGTCAAAGAGAAAGGTCTTGAGACCGGCCTTGAAGGAGGAAAGCGAGGAGGCGGCGAAGGCACTGGGGGATGGAGTTCCAGAGCCGAGAGGCTGAAGGCCCGGCCACCGATGGTAGGGCGGTTGGGGCGGGGGATGTGGAGCAGACCGGAGCCAGAGGAACGGTGGGTACGAGCAGGTAGATAGGGGGATAGTAGGTCGGAGAGGTAGGAGGGAGCAAGGCCGTGAATGGCGGTAGGAGGGAGCAAGGGCGTGAATGGCTGGTGCCCTGTCTCCTCTCCCCTAAAACTACATATTACAATATACTTTATATAATAGTTCTTTAACTTGCTATCACGTCGGAAGGACATCTCAAAGCGCTTCCACAGGAATTACTATGAAATGAAGTGACTGTATTTTTCAATATATAACGACAATAATAATCCTTGCATTTGATAAAGGGCTTTTCACGTCTTCTCGACGTCTCAAAGCGCTTCACAGTATATGCTGTAAAGTGAATTGACCGTATATTTGTGGACGAAACGCGGCAGCCAATTGTGCACAGCAGTCGTGGATTGAAATGATCAATGTATTATTGTTTTGGAGGGATTATCATCAGACGTGTGGAGTAAGGAAACTTGCCCAAGGTTTTGCCCTGCCTGGAATTGAACCCAAGTGTCTATACAGTCAATTCACTTTACAGTGTGTTCTGTGAAGTGCTTTGGGCGTCCTCCCGACGTGAAAAGCGCTATATCAATGCAAATGCAAGGAATATGGTGTATAATAGTGATTCTTCTATATGCCTTTCGCGTTAGTGGAATAAAGGATATGCTGTGAAGTGTACTCTGCATTTTGTGGGCGTAAATCTATTGAAGCAACTTAGTAGTGTGGTCTTGCATATTGTCGCTTGGAAGGATGCTGTTCGGATCATGAATTCTCAGAGAAAGCTGCTCACTTCCTTGCCCCATGTTTTCCCCATGCCCCTCAGTGTTTCTCTTTTTCAAATATTTGTCTTATTCAGTTTAAAAGCTGTATTGATTGGCAATCCAATTGAAACCCCAGCCTCTGATTCCTCCACTCACCCTTCTATCTGTCTTTGTGTCCCACCTTGAAACACGCCTTTGATCATCTTCCACCCTCCCCTTCGCCTGCTCAGCACTGCAAAGAACTCTGAAATTATTGAAGGGCGCTATATAAAAGTTGTTGATAATGCTTCAATCATATTTCATGATAGGTTGTTGCCATGTCCGATGTAAAAATGAAAAACAATTGCCTAATCTCTCCCTTCTAGAATTTCATATTTTTGCGACTACATTTATGCCCTCTAGTTGCCATTACGAATGTAGCAGCAATGAGGAGGGGGATGCCAGGCAGCGAGTACGATCAATGGTTTCATGGGTATTATTACCAGCCAACTGTCCTAAGTAGCTTCATGCAGAATTTCTTTAATGGAAAACTTGACGCATTCATTTTCATGTTGGCTCAGGGTTACAAAGCTGCCCCCCCCCCACCCCTCGGCCGATCTCTTGTCGTCTTACGCAGACTGATTATTTGCTGCAGATGTTAAAGCGGGTCGTTGGCACACGTTACGTCACCTCTAGCAGCTGCTTTGAACAAGGCTGCAGCTGGAAATACTGCCATAGTCTGCTTTTGGCTCAAAGAGCGGAGGAGGGAGAGGAGAAAAAAGCATCAACATTATTTTGGGAGTATACCAAAAGTGAAACTTGTTCCTAAATGATATCAAAACCCCTTTACGTTGCTGCCAATCACTTCCTCTGGTTTCAAGTGGGTTGTGAAAAGGCCAGTTTTTTTGTCTTGAGCAAATTGATGTTTGTGCAAATCCTCTTTATTTGCAAAATTTAATTGGAATCCTAAATTAAAATAGAAATGTTATAAATTCAGCCGGTGTTTGTCAGAAAGGCAAAGTAGGTGCCAACCACTACAAACTGTCAACAGAAAGGGGTCAGTGATTCATAACTCAAATAAATTGTCATACTGTGTCATGAGTATTACTGTTATTGTTAAAACTATCAAATGCAAGGATTATTATTGCTTGTACACTTTGAAACTATTAAGCCACATGTTAGTACTCTTGACAAAACTTTTTTGCTACCAGCAAATAACCGGATGCTTGAGGTAGAATGTTTATTTCACCGTGTTTACTCTGGAAGCTTAGTTTGCTAAGCACAATGAATGCCCCTGCATTACACTTAAGAGCCAGGGAATTGTTTTGCATTGTTTAAAAATTATTGGTACGCAGAGGTTAGGACACCTATAACCTCTACATATAAGCAATTTATCCAGTCCTGTAGCTCAGTGGTTAGAGCACTCGCCTTGCAAGCGAGAGACCTGGGTTCAATTCCAGGCAGAGGGCAAAACCTTGGGCAAGTTTCCTTACTCCACACAGAGCCTAATAATAATCCCTCCAAAACAAAAAAACAATAATAAATTGGTCATTTTCAATCCACGACTGTTTGTGGGACACTGCTGTGCGAAATTGGCTGCTGGGTTTCGCCCACAAATATACGGTCAATTCACTTTACAGTCTATTCTGTGAAGCGCTTTGAGACGTCTAGAAGACGTGAAAAGCACTATATCAAATGCAAGGATGATTATTATTATTTAAGATGCAAAAGAATTCCTGCGAGAGGGTAGTCAGGGTGCGAATATTGGTTGAAGCTCATTTTGTGTCCTCCAATCCCTTTGGAAGGGGCGCAAAGGTATTGAAACTTTGGCCTGCCACAACTACCTAACCTTATTCCCGATTACCTTTTTCACCTCTGTTCAGGTTTTATCAAATCAACATGTGCCTCCTGATCATCTGCTGCGGATATGCAAGAGGATTGGCACACTGCTGGATAAAGAAGTTCCTCCAAGTGTGTCAGGCGTGCAATCTCTGCTTGGTGCTGGGCGGCAGTCATTACTACGAACTGCCAAAGGTACAGATCTACTTTGACTTCTTAGATAGACCTCGATACTAGGTTTGGGTGACATTTGTTACAAATGAAAATTCCTTGCTCATTGGAAGGAGGTAGATCATGTCATGTTTGTTTACTACTAAAAGAGTGAAAATATTCTATGCAGATAAGTGGAACCAATAGATGAGGTCCCCTTTTATGTCCTAACCTCTGCATATGTTTCGCCCACAAAATATAATCCACTTAGAGACGGCTCAACGACATAAGGTGCTACATCAGATGCAAAGATTATTATATAAGCAATTCAAGAAATGCATAAGAAGTCCATAGTTCTTAATTTTAATGCAGTGTCATGCTGCTTAACAATCTGACTTGTCCTGGCTTGCCTACCAGCATACGATTCTTTAACTGAGAAAGTAAGGTCTGGTACCCTGGTGATTCATTTGCATATGTCAGCAAGATGTATTCCCATTGAATTAAAATTCTGTATAAAATTGACAATGTATTCAAAAATTGTCCTTATCTTCATAAAGCACGTTTGGGCCATTAAAGTGTTGTTTTTCTCAATTTACCTTTGAAGGGAGGAAGATAAATGGAAATTGGTTTTATTAAACATTATAAAATGTTAAGCTCCACTTTATGCTCTGATTGTTCTTTTGAGGCATGTTGTGAAATAGTGTCTGGTCAATGGACTTGTGAAGCAAGTGTGAAATTGTCTCATGTGAGTGATGCTGACGATTACCTAATGCGATTCCCCTGAAATGAAAAGAAACTGCACACTATTTGTAGAAGATTCTTCCGTGCAGTTAAACTTACACCTGAAAAAATTAATTTGATCTAATTTGGTTTCCTTCACAGTCATTTTTGATAATGTCAGTGTTTCAGACAGTTTTTTTTCCCCATCCAATCCCACAAAAAAGCTCAGCATTCCCAGCTGGACCTATGAACAGGAAAAACTAGATTAATAATAATATAATCCTTGCATTTGATATAGTGCCTTATCAGTCTGAGACGTCTCAATGCGCTTCATGCAATATACTGTAAAGTGTAGTGACTATATTTTGTGGGTGAAACCAAATACAGGAGTTGCTGTCCCTCTAGACTTTAAACTGGATTTATTTGTTTCTTGATTTCAGATTGCAAGCAAGTCATATGGAGAGGCTCTGCGTTTGCAGCTCTTCATAGAGGAAGACCGCCTGAAACGCCCATCACTTATGGGAGCTCACCCAGTGTTGGTAAGTCTGAGGTCCCTGCAGTCTTGCGGTAAACGCACCCACTGTATTTTACCAGCCCTCACCTTTGTGGATATTCTCATTGCAGTGGAAATCATCCGCGGCAGACAGATGACAGGATATGGACGTTTTAGTTCTATTTTCCCTTCTGGTACCTATCAACATATCAAGATGCACAGGAGGATTCTTGGACATCTGTCTTCTGTGTACTGTGTTGCTTTTGATCGCACTGGATGCAGGATTTTTACTGTAAGTAGCAGTTTTTTTATATAATGGGTTAAACCACTTTGAATCAGAGGCCCCGGTCACTTAAAATCAAACAAGCAGTGAAGGAATATGGTGTCCCATCGTACAGCTGTATCATTTCCACTGAGTGAGGCCGTGAGAAAATGTTGTAGATCTAATTTCTACCATGACTCGCTTCCATACGTGGAACTTGCAGAAGGGGAGAAGGGAAAGGGACCTAAAGTGTGGTCACATAGATGGGTTTTCTGACTGACTGAAGGAGGGAGTGAGTCGGAGGGACCTGGGCTGGAGTTCTGGAGAGTGGGGGTTCTGATAAGTGGTATTTACTGTGGTTGGGCTCAGAGGCGTTTATATGGTAGAATATTAAACATTGAAAAGTTAATTTGAATTAATAACATGAAACAACTTCTCTGTCTTTAACGCTCACCGAAAATGTACCCTGGGTGATGTTCCAAAAATTTTAAAGCAGCATTTTGATAGAACAGTTATGTTCCAGGGTTCTGATGACTGTCTGGTGAAGATCTGGGCTACACGTAATGGTCGATTACTCTCCACACTGCGGGGGCATTCCACTGAGATCTCTGACATGGCTGTGAATTTTGAGAACACATTGCTAGCTGCTGGCAGCTGTGATAAACTTATCCGCGTTTGGTGCTTGAAAACATGTGCTCCTATAGCTGTGCTGCAGGGACACACTGGATCTATTACTTCCCTACAGGTAAGGTTTGTATTTTTACAGAAAGTAATGGTGATTGAATTGTGGACTTTCTAGATCAGTGTGGCTTAACTTCATACTGGGCAGTTGCTTTACCTAATGAGACATAAGGTGTGAATATAATTTGTATGATGCGCATTCCCTTTTGTAAAATTACGTGAGTGAATTCTCATGTTGGAGAATTGTTTTTGTTCAGCGCCAATGTCACCTGCCCTTCCCCTTTCTCCCGTGCTAGGCATCCATAATAATAATCCATAATAATAATCCCTCCAAAACCAAAAGCAATAATAAATTGGTCATTTTCAATCTGCGATGGTTTTGTGGGACATTGCTGTGCGCAATTGGCTGCCGCGTTCGCCCACAAATATACAGTCAATTCACTTTACAGTGTGTTCTGTGAAGCGCTTTGGACGTCCTCCCGACTTGAAAAGCGCTATATCAAATGCAAGGATTATTATTATTATCCAACCCCGCCATCATAAAGCGCTCTGGGACATTATTCTGTTTAAAGGCCAGTTTTTGTTGCTCTATATTCCTGTCACAAATGTTGGTTTTGACAGTTGCTCACTTACGTACTGTAACAAGAAGTTGCTAAGTGCGCAGTTGTGGTAAATGAGATAATAAAGTGAGATGGAGTCCTGTAGCATATTGGTTGGAGCATTCACCTTCCAGACAGGAGGACCTGGATTCGATTCACAGACAGGCAAAACCTTAAGCAAGTTTCCTTGCTCCACGCTCCTCTGTTTGCCTAGCAGTAAGTAGGAACCCGTTTATTTGTTGATTGGTGGATTTACTTTCCGGGGGAAAAATCCTTCCAAAAAATAAATAAAAAATAATAATTTGGTCACTCAATTCACGACTGTTTATGGGACACTGCTGTGTGCAATTCGCCCACAAAATATAGTCAATTTACTTTAAGCTGTGAAGTGCTTTGAGATGTCTCAATGATGGGATAAGGCGCTATATCAAATGCAAGGATTATTGTTATTAAGAAGAATGTTAATGCAACGTTGTTTGTTTGTTTGTTTCAGTTTAGTCCTATGAATAAAGGTTCAGTGCGTTACATGGCATCCACAGGATCTGATGGGAGTGTCTGCCTTTGGCAGTGGGATCCAGAGAGCTTGAAGTTCAAGTAAGTTTTGGTTAAATTAAAAACTTGATTGCAGCAAATGAAATTAAATAATTTTAAATGAAAATGGGGTCATTTTAAATGAAAATGGTTCAGTCATTTCCCCTCAATGCTGATGTGAAATTTGAAAAATTCGCAATTTGATGTGAGATTTACACATGTTTTACACTGAGTATGAGGATAATAAACACAGAAGTCCCTGGGAACACGCAGCAGATCAGGCAGCACCTATGAAGAGAGGAAAATGAGTTAACGTTTCAGGTCTATGAACTGTCGAAAGGTCGTAGACCTGAAACGTTAACTAAAACATTAATTGCTGTGTTTATATCAGGTCTCCAGCATCTGCAGTACTTTGCTTTTTGTTTATGAGGTTTATTGTGATAAATTGTTCAAACGGGTATACTGTGTCAATAACCGTTGTTGCATACATATTGTCACTGACGTTGCTGCCTGCATGCTGTGTGCAGGAAACACTGTTAAGCTTACTTTGTGAGATTTATGGGATGTTCGCATTGAGAGACTGAAAGGCTGGTGTGAGACTTGATCGAAAATGGAAAATGTAGAAAAAGGATGCAATGCAAAGTGTGTTGGTAAAAGTAACTTTTGAATGTAAAAATATTTTTTATACGTACGGTTTACGTGACTTGATGCGTGTGTATGTGTACATTTACAGTCAAATTTTAAATTTGGTTATATTCAAGCCTTGGAAAATAAAATACTATAATATATTAAGTGTTTTACTTTTTAGTTAAACATCTTTTTTGTGTCCTTTCTTGAAACCTTCTCTTTCATCAAGCAATCAGCCATTGAAGTTCACAGAACGGTCTCGGCCAGGAGTTCCAATGATCTGTTCTTCATTTAGTGTTGGTAAGGGGCTGAAAATATTGCTGTGTCTGATATTGAATCTTTTTTGAGTTGAAAAGTTTAACGTTTAACCTGTTTTTAGTTATTTTTCATAAAGTCCATAAGGGAAGGAGTTCTTCAGATGAGATGTTAAACCAAGACCCTGTCTGCCTGTTCAGGTGGATGCTAAAGATCCCATGGCACTATTCGATGAGAGAAAGGAGTTTCTCCTGGTTTCCTGGCCAGCAATCCCCCAATAAAATTGGTCATTCATTTCATGGCTGTCTGTGCAGCATTGCTACGCACAGCTTGGCTGCTGTATTCACCTACAAAGTACATTGTAATTCCAACTTTCTAGTAATTCCCGTGAACCACTTTCCTCCCAATGTGAAAGGCGCTATACCAAATGTAAGGATTGTTTTTAAGTATAAGCGCAACATCTACTGCTGAATTTATATAAAGGCAAATTGCACAAGTTGACACCCTGGGGGCAGGATATCATTTGTACTTACTGGGCTAGGCACACCAGGAAGGGTCAGTCCTCTCCAGCTGTTAAATGAACTGATTGTGAGTGCCTTAGTGTTTCATGGTAGTGAGGGAAACAAAATCATTCTTTCTGTTCCTAAATCATTATCCAATCACTCTTGCAGGAAAGAATTGTGCATATTAGGGACTGTACTGTGCTCTTGTAATGCTTGCCTGTAAAGCTGAACAGTCTGGCAATAGTCAATCTAGGTTCGTACATGAAGAATCACTCCCTATTTGGTGTCATCAGCAAACCTAGAAATTGTGCCTCTTTTACCATGTTATACAGATTATTTAAATGGTCCAGGCTCATGGACTATCATTTACCTTTCTCCATACAGTATACTTACCATGTACTTCACTCTGTTTGCTATCCTTTAACCAACTTTCTATACAAGTTGTTGTCTTACCATTAAAATCGTGTGTTTTTTTTGTAACAAATCACTTTTAAATTTGTTGATGACGGCCAATTACTATAAATAAAATCAGCAATTAGTTGAGGCAGTGGTGGCCTACTGAAGTCTTCTAAAATGTTCTTTCTTTTGAAGGTGGCATGTTCCTAGCGACCGGCAGCAGTGATCACGTGATTAGGATTTATTACTTTGGATCTGGAACTGCTGAGAAGATTTCTGAATTGGAATCTCATATGGTAAATACTTCAACTGGCTTATTATCCATATTGACCTGTCCGGATCAACAACGTGATAAGGCGCTTTATCAAACATTATTATTAAGAGTGGTCCTATGCCAGTCATTCCTTCTGTTTCTGTCGCTTGCCCAAAATGAGCATGGTCAAAGGAGAAAGCATATTGTATTTGAATTGTATAATTTCAAACATCTACAAAGCTTGTATCTTCATACAATATTTGTTTCTTAACAGTTCACATTGTTTTTGTTCTTGTAGGATAAAGTGGACAGTATTCAGTTTTCCAACAATGGTGACAGGTAAATATTTAATCTCTAGCTTATGTCTTGAGAGAATATGGGTGCCTTCTAAACCTTCTTCCAATGTATATTTCATCACTTGCCTGTCTCTAACCCTCCAGCCATGTAACTTATACTTGTGCATAAAGTGGGACACTGCTGTGCGCAATTGGCTGCCGCTTTTCGCCCACAGAATACACTAATATATTCTGTGAAGCGCTTTGAGGCGTCTCAACGACGTGATAAGGTGCTATATCAAATGCAAGGATTATTATTATAAAACGCACAATTGTCTACTGTCTTTCCTCAACTAGATTTTCATAATCTTTGCTCACTTTAACTTTGTATTTTTTCTAGACATTCAAATGTTGCTGTTCAATTCTAATTGTGGCTATATTTTGCCTATGAGACTTTTGTCACACCATACAAGTTATTCTTTCGATACACAAAAGGGATGAAACACTTGTGTGGAAAGCTCAAGCCTCCACCCTCAAAACAACGTTGTCAATGTTTCCTTTACACAGACTTGTCAGTGGGAGCAGAGATGGAACAGCACGGATCTGGAGGTTCCAGTTCCAAGAGTGGAAAAGCATCTTGCTGGACATGAGTACAAAATTACCAGGGTAAGATTAGGATTGTTTGTATGTGTTTTTCTTGTCATCTTAAATGGTCGATTGGCGGATTGCTTTCCGGGGGGGTAATAATCCAAATAATAAAAAATAATAATTTGGTGGCACAATCCACGACTGTTTGTTGGATACTGCTGTCTGCAATTGGCTGCCGCGTTTCGTCCACAAAATACAGTCAATTCACTTTACAGTATGTCCTGTGAAGCACTTTGAGACGTCTCAACGAGGCTATCTCAAATGCAAATATTATTATTCTTATTTCTTTTAGCCTTGGGTTATAATTGTGTCCTAACTTGGATTGATGTGTGCACTTTGTATCCTTTCTGCTTTGCGGCCATTCCTAAAGAGTGATTGCTGTTTACTGTTGATTCTTTAGAAACGGCTTGTGTCCAGAGGATGATACGGTAGCAAAGCCAAAAGTGACAATGGTAGCATGGGACTGTCATGACAATACTGTCATCACTGCTGTGAATAATCATGCATTAAAGGTCTGGAATTCCTACACCGGCCAATTGCTTCACATCCTTACTGTAAGTAGCATCAACATCTATCACAGTCGTGATTGTAATATGAGGTTGCATCTTGTGGTATTAAAAAAAATTCCCAAATTGACTTAACCTCACTGTACTGAAAAACACTGGTAAACCACAATAATCGTAGAATCTTACAGCACAGAAGGAGGCCGTTTGGCCCATCGTGCCTGTACCGGCTCTTTGAAAGAGCTTTCCAACTAGTCCCACTTCCCCGCTGTTAATCCATAATTTTGCAAATATTTCCTTATCAAATACCTATCGAATTCCCTTTTTAAAGCTACTATCGAATTGCTTCCTCACCCTTTCAGGCAGTGCATTCCAGACCATAACAACTCTCTGGGTAAATACATTTTTTTCCTCGTCTGGTTCTTTTGTCATTTATCTGAAATCTGTATCCTCTGGTTACCGACCCACCCTTCTTGATTCTTAAGGAGAACGATCCCAGCCTCTCCAGTCTCTTCACATAACTGACACCCTGTGCAATTCGATCCACAATTCCTCCCTCCACAAATACTTGGGACCTGAGGGGGGCAAATCTTCTTGTACCTTTCCTTGAAGATCTTTACGTTCCTACAAGTTGAAGAAGAGCATGGTCTCTTAACACTGAGAATTTGTGGACAATAGACTGGGATACTTCTGTTAACATTAAACTCCTGTCAGATTCCCTAAAGTCAAGCTCCGAAGTCTCCCTGTGCTATTTTCCTTTTCTAACTTTCTCCCTTTTTCTGAAGGTGCTGACTTCTGCTTGGCTTATGACCTCAAGAGCATTGCCTAAGTGGCTCCATTTTTACTTTTACATCAAGTGTTGCCAGGGCTATAGGGTTAGGGAATGATCATGGCTGAGCCATCTGATGGTAGTGCTTTATGTCCAAGTGACTGGGTAGTGAGCAATTGTAGGAACTGTTGATTTTTCATTTTCTTTCTCCATAGCCCAGAGTCACACAAGTCACAGTTGACGTCAGCTAGCCTGGGGATCCAACCTGGAATTGGCTGTTTTAATCCAGTTGATGGCTTTCAGCAACTGAGTCTTTAAATACTGACCCTTTGGTGCTCCTTCCCACAGTCCCTTTGCCTCGCCTACTCCCTTGCGTCCTTCAAGGCCTGTCTCAAGATCTTCCTCTTCGACCGCACCTCCGGTCACTCCCCTACCCCCGCCCTCCATTCCTGCTTATCCCAACCCTCAGCTTGGGTGCAAATCCTTGAATGTCCAGCGCCTTGAGACGTCCTCCCGACGTGAAATGTAATTTGTTTGTTATTGTTAACCCTCTAGCCTTGTTATGGCACAGAAAAGAAATGTGTCCATTGTTTGACTGCATAAATGGGCATGAATGAAACTAGTTGTAAAAAGCTGGGCAGTTTCAGCCATACAGTCAGTCAGCACCAGGTGTGGAGTACAGCCCGTGTATATGATTGCTCTGGATGACTCAGTTCAGAGATGTCAGGAAGCCTGCCTTATTCTGTTTCAATTGTATTCTGATTTGTTAAAATCCTTTTTGGTTACAATCTCAGGGCCATGAAGATGAAGTGTTTGTTTTGGAGCCACATCCATTTGACTCGAGAATTATTTTGTCTGCAGGCCATGATGGCAATATCTTTATTTGGGATGTTACTAAAGGCACTAAATCTCACCATTACTTCAACATGGTAAGTAAACAAAAAAAGCATCAGTGTTGATGTATCCTTCTCCCGGACAGAAAAGCTCAAGCATGTTCACATAAATGGGATTTGAAGCGCTTTGAGACGTCGAGAAGATGTGAAAAGCGCTATATCAAATGCAAGGATTATTATTTATTTATTATTGTGCATTTCAAGTCGACTTATAAAGCACAAATCCATTTTTATAGGCCTTTCTTTGTGTGAAGCATCCTTCGGATTGAGCTCCCCTCTGCCCTGCTCAGGTGGATGTTAAAGATCCCATGGCACTGTTCAAAAAGAGCAGGGAGTTTCTTTCTCCCGGTGTCCTGGCTGATAAACTCCAGATAAAATCGGTCACTCCACTCTACAGCTGTTTGTAGGACATTGCCATGCACAATTGCGTTCCCGTGTTTGCCTACAAATACACAGTATTCCCTTTCACAATGGATCCTGTGCAGCGCTTTTGAGACGTCCTTTCGATGATGTACCAAATACGCCGATGATTATAAAATGCAAAATACTGTAGATGCTGGAAATCTGAAACAAAAACAGAGATCGCTGGGAACGCTTAGCAGGTCAAAGGGGTCATGGACCAGAAATGTTGACTCACTTTTCTCCATACGTCCTGCCTGATCTGCTGAGTGTTCCCAGCGATCTCTCTTTAATACAAGGATTATTATTATTTCATTTTATGCTTTCAGCTATTCTTTTGCAGTTTCTTTGGGTGATACATGAAATTGTTTTTACAACGTTTGATTTGTGTTAACAATTCTTTCCTCTGCTTTGTTCTGTAAAGCTTTAATAATTTAGCTGGATTTGCGCCGTATGGCCTGATGACAGGTTAACCATTGTCATTTCTGCAGATATTGTAGTGTAGCACTACGTAGCTGAGTATAGACTATTAAGTAAGTCATAAATAAGTACAGCTGTGTCAGTTTCTTGAGACAGCTATTGTACCTATAAGTGTAGCTCAGGGAGAACTGTCTTGCCTATGATTTACGTTAAAACATTTCAGTTGAAAAGAAAACTTGGACACTTTAGAACAAAAGTTTTGCTTGTGTTCAATGGTGAGATTTCTTTACTGAATTGTGAATCCCACTGTTTGGATGTAAAGGTGTTTCTAACTGAAAGCTTTCTGCTTCTCCAGATTGAAGGCCAAGGTCATGGCGCTGTATTTGACTGCAAGTTCTCACCAGATGGCCAGCACTTTTCCTGCACAGATTCCCATGGACATTTGCTGATATTTGGGTTTGGCTGCAGCAAAACATATGAAAAGGTAGGTCTTTTAAACACTTGGGTCCATTTCAACTTGTGTACACAAGAACAACAAATCACACTTGTATAGCGCCGAAGGCGCGGTCGAACAGGAGGGTCTTCAGATGGGCCTTGAAGGAGGCAAGGGAGGGGGCTGGGCAAATGGACTGTGGGATGGAGTTCCAAAGGGTGAGGGCAGAAAGGCTGAAGGCCCAACCGCTGCTGGGGAAATGAAGCAAACCAAAGCCCGTTGAGAGTTCGGTATGGAAGGTACAAGTTTCTGCAGCTAGTGGGGGAAAAGTAAATAAGATGTGTGCATGTGTATTGGGTCTAACGTTAACCACTCCGTTGAAGTCTTGAACCAAGGTGTAGTCAGAAAAGACCCGCTTGTTCTATTTGGCCCAAATTTTAAATTTGGTACCGTGAACAGAAGCACCAAAGTCACTTGTATTTTATATTTTGAATATCGTTTTACTTAAGGCAGAAAGACATAATTTTGCAAAAGTTCAATAAGCAGTTATAGTAGACAGGGTTATGACAGACCGTAGTGGCTTTTATGCTCATGGATAGTAATGACAATGTTAAAGTTCATAAGCAGTTGGCGGAGATCTCTTGCTTTTCCTCGGACTGAATGCTGGGGATGCCCAACTCTTGACTGAACAAAGTCAGGCTTAGCTATATCTCTTTCATCATTGTCCTTTTTAATAACACTGAGATGGTCCGTGTGAATGTTCATGTTAAACAGGCTGGGACCGTCCTTGGGTTTGGATACCCATGAGCTGGTTCTAATTAAAACATACCAACAATTTATACCAACAATTAACAAGGGACCTTGCAGCTGTGATGAACCCACTTCATACTTTTGAACCAATTTAACTCTTCAAGGCAGAACATACTGACAATTGGCTGCTGCATTTCACCCACAAAATACACAATCGATTCACTTTGTAGTATATTCTGTGAAGCGATTTGAGACCGCTCAACAACATGAGGCGCTATATCAAATGTGGGGATTATTATATTTTCCCATAAGATTTCCCATCTTTTTGTTAGATTCCAGAGCAGATGTTTTTCCACACCGACTATCGGCCGCTCATTCGTGATGCAAACAACTTTGTTCTGGATGAGCAGACTCAACAAGCTCCCCATCTCATGCCTCCTCCATTCCTGGTGGATGTGGATGGAAACCCTCATCCTACAAAATACCAGCGGCTGGTACCAGGGCGTGAAAATTGTCTTGATGAGCAACTTATACCGCAGCTGGGATATGTGGCAATGAGTAAGTGAAGTCCTGTAGTATATTGGTTATAGCACTCGTCTCACAAGCGAAAGGGCCTGGGTTTGATTCCTGGGCGAGGCGAAACCTTACTCCTATCCTCACGCAGTTTCCTTACTCCTACATACCTATATTTGCCTAGCAGTAAGTATGAACCTGAATGTTAGTCGGTGGGTGGATCGCTTTTCCGAGGCTAATAATTTCTCCAAAAATAATAATGATAATTTGGTAACTGCTTTGTGTAATTGGCCGCTGTGTTTCGTCCACAAAATATACAGTTGATTCACTTTACACTATGTTCTGTGAAGTGCTTTGAGATGTTTCAATGATATAATAAGGTGCTAAATCAAATGCAAGGATTATTAATATTATTTTCTCCTAATGTTCTAATTCAGTTCAGAAAATGTGGGCTGCAGAAATATTAATGTTAAACCAGTGGGTTAGGCCGTGTGTCAGTTGGATTTTTGGGGGGTGTAGACAAATTGACTTGACACCACGTTACTTTCAAATATAAGTTTTATTAAAGTTTGAACAGACAGATCAGCTATACTGTATCCCTTATACAGATATACTAAGCAACAGACAGAATCAAAATGATATTACCCACTACTACTCCTCTTTCACTGTTAATGGTCACTTTCTTACTGGGGGTAAATACCCTCACCCCTATACATATATGTAGATACAGTAGAATCAATATCGATTCCACTGGGAAGTGCACTGACCCTCTAGACAACTACCAACTACATCTTTAACGTGTTTCTAACTCCACCTCCCCTCATCACAGAGATAGCCCCCACTATTTACAGGCTGTTTTACTCAGAGACAGATATGGGCAGCCTTCCATAGCCTATTTGTTTCTCAGTCTTGCGCTAGGCAGGTGTCTGAGACTGCAGCCTTTTCTTTCTGTGGTCCATTGTTCTTACAGTTATGGCTCAAGGACCCGATTGCTCATTATCTCAGGAGTGAACACCTTCCCAGGAAAATATTAAATCTAATCAGAAGCTAACTCAACCCAACCAGCAAAGCTACTTTTAACCATTCAACTATCAAACCTTCTGGAACATTCGGTTGCTGTTTGAAATATACCGAAGCACCTTGAGGTGATAGTCGGTATATTTCAACAGGTGACATGAACTCTCCTGGAGTAGCTTGTATCTCTTTGAGGATTCAATAATCTTATGAAGTGGCTGATGTGTATGTGGCATTTTATAGGTGATGGTGAGGTTGTGGAGCAAGTGATTGGGCAGCAGACGAATGAGCAGGATGAGCAGAGCATTGAGCACAGTGTTCTGGATGGCATCATCCGAAATTTACAACAGGAACACGACCACCGGGTGGGAACAGAACAAGGTGGACTCAACAGCCCGCACAGCAGGATAGGCACTCCTGCAAGAGGTAAGATGTAGTTTAAAATCGCCTCTGCATATTTCAACCAGGGTGGTCCAACTTTTGGCTGCTAAGAGCTGATTGCCCTATTTGAAAAACATGGGTGGGAATCATATAAGCAACATTTTTGTGTTTCCCTTCCAATAATGTAACATTTACGGGTTATGGAGGGAGGGTAGGGATGAAATTGGCCCACGGATGGAATGTGGCCTGCAGGCTGCCAGTGGGACCACCCTGATTTATGCAATTTCACTAGCTGCACCAGCATATTTTTTATAGAAAGGCATTTTTAAAAAAAAAAATTTTTTTTTTTGCTGAATAGGGCGTTTTAATATTGTACGCTTCTGACAATTTGAACACTTCAAATCCGGAAGTCGCCAAGAACTCTGTGTAGTACATAATGTAATGTACGAATTTGGAACAATGAGGGTTTCTAATGCTGAAAATTGTTCAATACTTTGTCACTGAGGCACGTCTCAAAACGTACGTCTTTGACCACACTTTCGGTCATCATTCCTCTCCTCACCCCGAGCTCGGCTGCCCGATCTCCACTGTGAATAACATCAAGTTACATTTGAATAGGCCCTTTCACGTCAGGAGAATGTTCCAAGGCACTGGACAGGCAGGATTTGGACCTGAGCTAGGGGTTGGAGGGTGACTGAAGATACAGTTGAAGAGGAGGGTCTTGAAGGTGGCGAAGGGACTGTGGGATGGAGTTCCAAAGGATTGCGGCAGAAAGGCTGAAGGCACACCAAAGCCCACTGAGTGGACAGGTGTATAAGGAGTTAGCAACTCAGATAGAGTAATTTTACTAATGAGGGCTTTGAATGCAGGACAAGGGTTTTGAACTCTATCCTCTGGGGGACGGGGAGTCAGATGAGGATGGATTCACAGAGCTTGCGACATCCCTTCAATGTGAAAGGCGCTTTGCAAGTGTAAATTGTACGTAAATGCAGATGGAGCACTCGATATTTAATATTTTCGTTTGGGACAAAAGTCTCGTATTTCTCAGGCAAAGCCTTATAAAGGTTGATGGCCAACAGTTAAACTGAATTAAAAACATGGAAGGAACACCAACGAATCAGCTGCACATCATGCTGATAAACCTCCAAAATGACAAACTTTAACCTTTTCCTCTGCACAGTTGTTCATTTTGTACTTTGTTTTCCAAGTTTTAAGGAATCCCAGCTCAGACATGTTGTCACTGCCCAACGTGGGATTGCGACGCAGTGGTCAGATTGAAGGTGTCCGCCAAATGCATCACAATGCCCCCCGCAGTCAAATAGCCACAGAGAGGGACATAATGGCGTGGAAAAGGCGAGTGGTGGTCCCGGATATACCGACGAGCTCTATCAGGTATGGATTTGTTGAGAGCAAAAAGTGAAATCGAGAACAGCATTTTTGCTTGTCTTGCTCTTTCCAACGGTTAATCAGAACCAGGTGTCGTTCCTGCAAGTTCCCTGTGGCAGTGTGCTGTTGAGCCAAGCTGAAGAGTCTGTTACACCAATGCGACCTCTCGATTTCCTTCAAATATCACATCCGCTCAGCAGGCTCCGGCTGGCTCCATGTGCCCCGTCCCTGAGGACGTGAAGCAGGCCGTTAGCTCTCATCCAGGACTTGATATCTGACAGACATGCTGTCAGGACATCAGTGGTCCTGGGGTCAAGGGTGGAGGCAGAGAGATAGATTTGGGTGTCATCCGCATAGTTGTGGAGGTTGACCTGTGGATGCTGTCACCAAGAAAGTTATTAAGGATACTATTGTGAATGTTCCAGATCGTACCAACTCTTTTTTTTAAAAAAATAACAAAAATCTCATCTTTCCTCTTTTGCCAATTATCTTAGATCTGTGTCCTCTAGTTACCGACCCACCCGCCAGAGGAAACAGTTTCTTCCCATTTACTCTCAAAACCCCTCATAATTTTGACAACCTCTATTAAATCTCCCTTTAACCTTCTCTGATCTAATGAGATCTCAGGTTCTCTAGTCTTGTGTAATTTACAGGTAAATAGAGTCAACGTTTCCTGCGATCCTCTTTGTCTCAGTGAAAATGTGTGTATTTATCTCTCAGATTGCAAGAAGACTATCGAATTGCCAAAAGTGAGGAAGAAGTGGCCTTGTATACGCGGGAAAAGAAAAGGCGCCCACTCCATTCCACACAAAGGGTAGGTACTTCCAAATGGAAGGTCCAGGAAATGATTACCGACAGTGATCAGAGTGAATGAGCTAGTAACGGAATTTTTGTAACGCAATGAACCTATTATTACTCTCGTGGAATCCCGTGGCCTCGTGGTTAGCGCGCTCGCCTTACATGTGAGAGGACCTGGGTTTGATTCCCGGATAGGGTGAAACCTTATACAACTTTCCTTACTCCACACACCTCTGTCTACCAAGCAGTAAGTGGGCGGTTGTTAGTCGATTGGCGGATTGCTTTCTGGGGGTAATAATTCCTCCCTCTCCCTTCCCCTAAAAATTGGGTCACTCACTCCATGGCTGTTTGTGGGACACTGCTGTGTGCAATTGGCTGCCGCGTTTTGCCCATAAATACAGTCAACCCATTTTTATGACGTATTCTGTGAAGCATTGAGACGTCTCAACGACGTGATGAGGTGCTATATCAAATGCAAGGATTACTATTCTCAAATCATTCTGTAACTGTGTTTTCATATGTAAAACTTAGATGTTCCTTTTTACTGTGTAGAGCACAGCACTGTGTAATTTTCTCTATTACGTTACTCTTGTCATTGTTGCACCTTTACTTTAGAATGATTCTTTGGTCTCATCTGAACACACAAAGAGAAGAATGAGGGCACGGCGTCGCGAGCAACACAAATACCGAACCCGTGCTGCTGTTGAGGAATTGGCTCAGTATTTCCACGAAGAAGCAGAAGAGGCTAGCTCTGAAGAGGTGAGGTTTTTCTTTCTTTAATTCTTGGCTCGTTATACAGTAAAACGCACAAGTCGTATCAGTATTTAATGTGACTTACATGAAGTCTAAGTTACAGGCAAACTTGTATAAGTCATATGAAATCCGATTTGAAGCAATCATCTACACCTTACATAATTCAATGCAGCCAGTAAGTGCTTGTGCTGTACTTCGTCACTGCAGCTGGTAAGTGTCTATGTGGCTGTATTGAATCAGGGGAAATGTAGTTTGACCTGTCGCTCCATGTGCACTTACCAGCAAGCATTGGAATCACATTGAATGAAGNTTTTTTTGTGCGTGTGGTGACGAGTCAAGATTACGTTCCTGCGATCCAATGCAGCTGACTGGTAAGTGTGCATGTGTCAATGGATTTGGATGTACTGTCCTGCAGTTCAGCGCAGCTGGTAATTGCGGGATTCATAGAGAATAGAAGAACATTGTTCCAAGTTAGGAGGTGATTAATCCGACGAGTGCAAAGAAATCCAAGTGGTTTTGATGGGACACTGAATGGGACTCGGGTGAATGTACGACTTATAAAGATAAGACTTATGTGAGTTTCACTGTATTAGTTTCACTTTAAAATTGAAAATAATTGGAAATTAGATACTGTGTATAACTTAATCCTGACGCCTGACTTAACCAAGAAAGATTTGGGTCAACATTCCTGCCCTTTAGGTTACAATAAATTAAACCCAAAATGTCAGTCTTCCAAGCTTATATATTAAATAAAAAAATTCTGATTACATTTGTATAGCACTTGTGGAGGGCAGGGAGGGTGGGCTTAGGAGGAAGGTCGAAGAAGAAGGTCTTGGGACAGGCCTTGGAGGAGGCGAGGCGTAGGCACTGTGGGATGGAGTTCCAAATAAATGACAGTCGCCCATTATGATGCGAGGTTGGGATATGAACCCCACATTAGTGCCAACTCGCTTCAAAACACCGGCTAGCTTTTTGCACACTAAAATATTGCTTGTCCTTCGTTCCAACATCAGTGGCTGTGCTTTCAGCCACTCCGTCACAAAACTCTGGAACTCTCTTCCTCTATCCCTCTGCCTTCTGAAGACCTTTCTCTTCGACCGTGCCTACAGTCACCTTCCCCCAGCTCAGCATCATGCTCAGTCACTGTCAAGAAAATGCAAGTTGTTATATTGGGGCTCCACTGTAATTAATCCTTGCTGCTGTTTTAATACAGGACAGTAATTCAGCTGGAGGCTCTTCAGACGAGTGGCGGAGTGCAAACAACAGCTCAAGGTAATACAGGAGTAATAAATTATCCTTGCATGCGATTCCACCTTAAGAGGTCTAGAGGAAGTCTTAAAGCGCATCACTGGGTTTACTGTAAAGTATAGTGACCATTTTGTAGGCTGCCAATTTTTGCGCTAATATCAGCCAAAACTGATAAAAATTTCAAAAATTTAATTTTGCGTTTTTAACATTGAAGTGTTTCTTTAAAAAATAAACTGCTCTTGTCTTGACTAATCTGCGCAGAAGTAGACTGACATTGTGAAGTGGATTGATGTTCCACTCTGTCCAGGATTACATGATCAGCACCCCGTAATGGATTGATTCTTTGTACACCTCGCTTGTCATTCTTCATGTGTGAGCCGAGATGAGCGAGTCACCATCAGGCTATTTGGCTGGCGGATATCCAATACAGTGTTAGTGGAGAGCTTGATATCAGAAATGCTGAGCTGGCTCCAATGTGACATGCTTGGCAATGGAATATCAGAATTAAGTCAACCTTCTGTAGTATAGAGCCAGGCGGATCCACAGTACTCCAGCGGCCTGCTGATGGCAGACCAGACAATCTGGATTGTTGGACAAGACAGTGGAGCAGACTGGGAGCAGGGATTCTTCCCACTTGGCTCATGTTAATGCTTCAATCTAAAGTCTTAATAGCAAGGTCCCAGCTGGACAAGCAGTAGGAAGCTTGCAATACAGCCCTAAATGGCAAGCTATACAGTTTTAGTGGTTAAACTGCAGTAGTACTTCACACTCTGGTGTCCCCAAGCCTCGGCTCTTGAGAACTGGTACCTCATATTCTCCGGAATTAAATAAACAGGGAAAATCCCTCCCTCCAGGAAGAGAGAGTGTATTCCATTCCCAAAGAAACTTCCACATGTAAGATATATATATATATATATATATATATGTGGAACTCTTTCTGGTTTGGATACTCTTTAGCCTGATGATGGATTTCTGTATTGTCATACATTTTTGGTGTCTTAACAATACGGAAATCACCATGGTATTATACAATCTTTTATATATTACAACTTATTCCATGTAAATATTCTATGGTCGTTGATGGGAGCTTCTTTTTTGTAACTAGCGACTCCTCAAGTGAGTATTCCGACTGGACAGCGGACGCAGGCATTAATCTTCAGCCACCGAAAAGACCGACCAGACGAAGACCTCTGCGTATCTTCAGCAGCTCAGAAGATGAACACGATGAGCTAGCAAAGAAAATACAACGAAACAAAAAGCCGAAGAAATCCAGAGGACGACAGCAAAAGGTAGAAATACATTTTCGTGATTTTTAAAAAAAATGAAAAATACAAAATGACATTTGTATAGAGCCTTTCACATTTGGGAGGGCGTCCCAAAGCGCTGAACAATCAGTGTTTCGGACTCGAGCTGGGGGTCGTGATCGGGGAGGGTGGAGTGCAGAGTGGGGGAGGAGGGTGGCATGGTCAAAGAGGAGGGTCTTGAGACGAAATGCGCTTTCCACACACACACTCACAATATTGCTTGCCATGACAAAGCCTCTTCATAGCTTACTATTCCCTCATATAAATGAGACTGTTGGGAGATGGTGATTCCTAAATTAAATAAAGAAAGAGTTCTGTGGTCTGCTGCTGCTTAGGTCTAAAATTAACATAAGAACATAAGAGATGCTAGACGAAAAAAAAGACCAAGGTCCATCTAGTTCGCCTTTCAACTTCCTCATGCACATATGTCCCAAACTATCTAAGTACTATATCCCATAAAAATTAGATCATTTAATAATAATCATTGCACTTGTTATTGCGCCTGGGCTGGGTGAAACCTTAAGCAAGTTTCCTTGCTTACAGACTGTTTACCTCGCAGTAAATAGGAACCCGGTTATTAGTCTATTGTTATTGTTGGACCCCTTTCCGTGGGTAATAATCCCATTTTTTAGAAAAAAATTTGGTTATTCAATCCACAACTGTTTGTGGGACACTGCTGTGTGCAATTGGCTGCTGTGTTTTGCCTACAAAACTTAGTCAATTCACTTTACTGCATATCTTGTGAAGTGTTTTGAGATGTCTCAACGACGAGATAAAGCGCTATATCAAATGCAAGGATTATTATTATATATTGGAAGTTCTTCATTGAACAAAAGGCTGCACATTCAGCAGGTTAAAACACAAGAGCACAGAGAGTTTGAAAGTGGCCTTTGTTACGTGTGTGTTGTACCGTATAATTTTATTTTCCTTCCTCACAACGCAGAGACCAAATCCCTTGCCATCTGGAGAGGGGACAAGTGTCGAGGCATGGCGTCCGACTAAATGGATCACGGACACTGTACCACGCAGGTCACCCTATGTTCCACAAATGGGCGATGAGGTAAGGAAGTTGGCAGAGTTACTCAGTTCATGTGTAGTAGGGATTTCTTTTTAATTTTTAAAAAAAAATTTACCACCTTAAACACTTCGTTAATAAACGGGTTTTATAATATTTTGGGCTACTAAACTTTTTCTACTCAGAGTGTTTAAAGAGCATAGTAAAGAAAGTGTGGTGCTTTTAGGCTGAATTAATCTTTTTTGCTGGCTGCTAGAAGCCAAATCAGCCATTTGACCAGAGGTTAGCCAAGTGAAATAATAGTAATGATCCTTGCATTTGATATAGTACCTTATTACGTCGTTGAGACGTCTCAAAGCGCTTTGCAGAGTATATTGTAAAGTGCAGTGACTGTGTATTTTGTGGGTGAAATTCCGTGCTTAGATTGTTTAATGTGTTGTGCATATTAAATAAGCAGGACCACAGAACTTTGCAGTCCATTTGGACCGTTATCTTTGAAAGAACAATTCATTCAGTTCCATTTACCTGACTTTTTCACACTTTGTGGCCATCTTTTGGAGTATGTGTTTCTCGGAACCCTCAGCCTTCTGTGTTTTGTACCTGTGTGTGTGTGCGCCTGTGTCTGCGCCTATGAGAGAGTGATGGAGTGTCCTTACCTGGCTCTGATGGTCTGAGACTTTGAGCTTGAGGGCAAGCTGCCGTAGACACTCCCCGTATGTGCGTTCCTATCTGAGGAACGAAGCATCCAGGAGCTCGTACATCTCGCAAGTTCAACACAAAACGAGCATCAGCAGTCCTTCCATACTAACTAAACCTAGCTTATAAAAATTGAACAAAGTCACACAAATTTTGTAAAAAAAAAGCTATATCAATAAAAATGTACTATTTTGCCCACGGAATATAGTCAATTTACAGTATAATTTGTGAAGCTCTGAGACATCTCAATGACGTGATGAGGCGCTATATCAGATGCAAGGAATATTATGTTGAAAGTATTGTACAGAAGATTCATAGCAGAATACATCTCATGAAAACTATTCATTGAACAACTTTTAATGTTACAATTTTGGAAGCATCTTCCCTTAACTTAGTGGAACTTAGTGTGTTTAATCATCGCAGTTGTAACACCTGTGACCAAATAGAAGTCTTATTTTTAATAGGTTGTGTACTTTCGGCAAGGCCACGAAGCCTATGTGGAAGCGGTTAAAAAAGCCAATACATACAACATTCATGCACACAAGCAACCGTGGCAAAAGATGGAAGTCAGGGTAAGAAAGTTATATGCAGAGTTTACTTCTCTACAGGTTTATAATTGGATGTTAAAACAATCTGTTTGAGTTCAGTAGTTAAATTCTGGATTAATATTACCTTTAATAATATTCGGTATATAATAATATTAATAAATTTTGTATTATCTTTACCTATGCTGGTTTAACATTCTAGTTAAAAGGGTGGAAGGCGAATGTGTGATATCTGCACTTCTGGGAGTTGCACTTTTTTTTAAGAACAATGCAGTGTTCAATGTTCACTTTGCACTGTAATACAGTTGATCAAAAAAATGTCAGGCACTTAAAACTATGTGATCTGGTCACAGTGAAGAAAAGCAGTGAATTGTGTGAATAAATAAATGAGTACCATAAGCTGAATATTGCAGCATCTGCTGAATTGGAAGTGTTATTTCCAGGATAATGCATATTGCAGTTGAGCAGAAACAAGTTCAATTGATTTGCGGACAAATGGCATTGTTGTAATTCAGTTGTTTAACTAGTTAATAAATTACTTTGGAGGGAGTGCTTTCCTTCGTTATGGTGTTTGCATTTTCCATATGGTTTACCCTTTCTTAGGTATCTCTTTCAAGGCCCATCTTAAGACCTTCCTCTTCTACTGTGTCTTCAGTCATCCTCCTACCCCCACCTTCCCTGCCCTTCTCCCCTCCTGATCCCAACCCGCAACTCGGGTATAAATACTTGACTGTTCAGGGCTTTGGGACGTCCTCCCGACATGAAAGGCGCTATACACATGTAATTTGTGGTTGTTGATGACTTTGAAAATAGGAATGTTTCTTTGAAGGGTATGTATGGAGGAGGAATGTAAAATAGAGAGGGAACTTGAAAAATGTTAAATGTGTTTACAGACTGCAGGAATATGGCTGTGCAGCTGAAGCAGTAATGTAGAATGCTAAATGACATGGTATTGACAAAGGACTTCATATTCTGTATCGTTAACTGTATCTGGTATGTCTGACTGAAATTATTCTTAGAGCTTCATAACGCTGACTTAAATCATTTAACTTGAATGTTTTCTTGTTTTCAATAGGATCAAGAATTCTTAAAAATTGTTGGCCTGAAATATGAAGTGGGTCCTCCTACACTGTGCTGCCTCAAGCTGGCCTTTATAGACCACGAGACCGGCAAAATTACTGATAAATCATTTTCTCTGAAGTATGTCTTTTTCATTTTACATTACAATATTGTCAAGCTGAGTTGCCGAATGTTTGTTTCATATTCTGTTGACAACAACAAATTACATTTTATATAGTGCCTTTCAACTCAGGAGGACATCCCTAAGCGCTGGACAGTCAGGGATTTGGACCCGAGCTGAGCATTAGGATCAAGATGGGTGAGGGTAGGAGGGTTGTGAATTCAAGCCTCACAGATTGGGCTCTGTGCTCAGACGCTGAACTGTGTTGTCAGGTGCCTTCCTTCGGATGAGGCATCTCTACCTGCTCTAGTGTATTTTGAAAATCCCATGGCACAATTTGAAAAGATGTGTAAGTCTCTCCCTGTGTTCTGCCCAACAATCCACTAATAAAATTGGTCAATTACTTCATGGCGGTTTGTAGGTCACTATTGTGCACAAATTGCCTGCAACGTTTGCCAACAAAATGTTCAATCATTCACTGCGGTGAATCCTGTGAAGCATTTGGAGATATTCTCTGTTGTGAAAAATACCTTATCTGACGAGTGACTTTTAGTGTGTTTTTAAGAAAGATTAAGAGCAGTGTAAAGATTGGGTGTTCCAAAGTTTGTTTCGTTTATTTCGTTAACAACTTATATAAATGCATAGGTAGGTGGTGGGGACCCTTTGGAAAAGTGTTATTTTATTGCCATGTGTGTGTCTATGTTCTTTTCTGGAAACATTCTTTAGTATATTAGCAGCAGTTTAATTTCACTGAGAACCCCTGCTGTAATGTTGTCTCTGCGGTTTATAATCTATCTATTGCGCTCGGCTCTGAACATTTCACTCTACCCACGGCTTACTCAGTTTGCTTTTAGTGCATACTTATTTATTTTCTTGGTCAGCTGGGTGTCTGACACATGCAGAAACCCATCACCATCCTTAAGCTTATCCAAACTAAGCTGAGAATTCCATGCATCCCACCTACACCTCGGAATTGCGAAGGTAGATTGTTGGAACAGAATGCGCAATCTCTCCCTGGAGGGATGCATCCTGCTCACCTGGAAAGTATTAGGCACAGGGTGGCAAGTTCCAAGTCTTGTGGACCCCAGAGTGTGGGTTGGGAAACTGCTGGAGTCCAACCAGCTTAAATCACATAGCTTGCCATTGATATGGCTGTCTGGCAAGCTTTAGTGCATTACTCCAGTTGAAATATCTGTAATTTCCTTTGCTGTTGGAGCCTAGCTTCAAAACCCGGATGAATGTTCCTTGTGACAGCAAGCACAAAGCTGTTCTTGGAAAGTCTTGGAAAGTTCTTGGAATACCCTCCATGTTCTGAAGTGTAGAGCTTGTGTTTGAAACTGTATAGCACTCACACAGCCCTGCCCAAATGCAGCTTTGAATCTCTTTCAATTTGGGCCCAGTTAGAAAAAAGCACCCCCTGCTGCACTTTTTTTCCTGATTTCAAATCTGCCTTCCTTATGGCCTCTCATTGTGAATACTAATTTTGTGACTGACTTGTGGCATATTATCTACAATCCACCACAGGGCAAGATAAAACTATTATGGTCTATTATGTTGAGTTTTAGTACTGTGGCCCTACATCAATGGGAAACTGCCCAAATCAATTTCGTGGAATAAAACCTCAAGCCGCTGGGTAGATAGAGGAGTCTTTCGACTCATTTGTCTGGGCTGCATTCAGAAGCTGTGCCCCCAAAGGTAGATTAACCCACTTAATCGCTTGCAGTCACTTGGTTTCTCATGTACATATAAGAAAAAAACAGAAATTGCAGTAAGTTTCTATTTCTGTTGCAGGTACCACGACATGCCAGATGTTATTGATTTCCTTGTATTACGTCAGTTTTATGATGAAGCAAGGCAGAGGAATTGGCAGTCAAGTACGTTTTGTTTCACCTTAGCCAACAGAAATCTTCTGCATTTACTTAGTAATAACTCTACTTTTACTGTGTGCTTTTTGGCTTTTTCTTGTCTTTAGAGATCTGGCTGAAGATCTACTCACAATGCTCAACTAAAATCCATGTTGTCTTTTACAATCCACCCGCAATCATGAGGATCGAGCATCTGAGAACATTATTGAACAGAACAGTTTATGATATTTTAACAAATTCAGAGCTGCTAGTGCAAATGTTGTATGAATGAAAGACCAGATTTTTCGCAGAGCATTTATGCAAAGGCTTCTTAAAGCAAGAGTACTCTTCCCTGAGCTAAGTAGAGAGAAAGTGAGCAGTCAGTTCGGATCGAATTACTTCAGTCATACAAAATGTGGAACAGATTCTGTGAAGGCAGTTTGTGCCTAGAGTATTCAATGAATTGAGGGGTCTGATTATTTATTGAGTTAATATTTTCTGAATCTTGCCCTTTCAGTTGAAAATGTTTTGGTCGCACATTTTATTACTGACTGATAACCTGCTCCCAGGTTTCTCCTGATATTGTCCTCGACTTTAACAACAACAACCTTGCACTTGCATAGCGCCCTCCATGCAGGGTAGAGTCTCAGAACTACCCTGGCTTGACTGCCTTGTTCATAAGAGCAATCTTAGTGACTAAATTGTTATGGCTTTCTACCCGTTATTTAAAGAGACACTAAGCTGTAGCATAATTGTACAATTTTGCCATTTTTTGCTATGCAAAATAGAGCTTCAAACTAAATTGAATCATTATTACTTGTGGCTTTTATAATAATAATAATCCTTGCATTTGATATTGTAACTTATCATGTTTTCGAGATGTCTCGCAACACTTCAGAATACACTGTAAGGTGAATTGATTGTATTTTGTGGGCGAAATAGTATGGTTTCTGTGAAGTCGGCAGCAGTTGACCATATTTTTGTTAGAACCGTATCATTATTTTTATCTAACTAAGTACAATTCATGTTCTGCTTTATTTCAGATGATCAATTTCGGTCAATAATAGATGATGCCTGGTGGTTTGGGAAGGTGTTACGTCAGGAGCCGTACCAGTCGCAATATCCAGACAGCCATTTCCAGTGTTACATTGTTTGGTAAGTTCAAAGGAACAATATCTAAACTCAACATAGTTCTTTTCTGTTGAAGTGCCCAGCTCTGGTTTTGGCATCTCATTCCACTGTAGATATGACCAGATTTTAATCCATTTGGCAAAGGGCGTTGGAACTCGACATAATTGTTCCATGATTTCTCTGAACATTAGACGTTTAATTTTGTTCATCCGGGTGTCTTGACACATGTGGAACCCTATCACCACACCATCTCTGCCCCCAATGACTGGTCTGCTTGGACCACCCTATCCATTAGGGCTTTGTCTTGTGGGGTTAATGGGAGCTGAGTGGGAGAATTCCTTGCCCCCAGTGACTGGTCTTCACTTTCAAGTCCTGCCGATGACCCACGCTTAAGAGTATGCAAACCAAACTCAGAATTTCATACATTCCACCAAAATATGGAAGTTCCTGTGATGTTTATTAGAATGAAATGCATGCTCTCTCTCTTAAGGGACGCATGTTGTTAACCTAATTCCGGAAGGTATTGGGTGCAGTTTTGCGATAGCCAATGCTTGGGGACCCCAGTGTGCGTTGGGTAACTGCTGGAATCTAACCAGCTAAAGCCGCATAGCTTGCCATTGAGAGCACTGTCTGGCAGGCTTTCCCGCGCCTTGTCAGCTAGGACCACCCTACCCAGGGCTTTGGCTTGCAAGGTTAATAGGAGTTGAGTGGGAGGTCTCTGCCCCCAATGACTGGTCTGCTTGGACCACCCTATCCATTAGGGCTTTGTCTTGTGGGGTAATGGGAGCTGAGTGGGAGAATTCCTTGCCCCCAGTGACTGGTCTGCACTTTCAAGTCCTGCCGATGACCCAGGCTTGGCTGTCATCATCAGTGCCCTGGAATACTGCAGTCCTGCCTGGCTCAGGAACAGGACTAGAAGCTGTCACAGAGGGTGGACTCATTTCTGACATTCTGTTGTCACCTTAGTCAGTTCAACTCCAAGAAGACCCTGCTTACATCCTCTTTCCACTTCCCTCACCCCCGTGCCCAGAAAAAGGAAGATAGACACCAGTTGGTCATTTGACAATATTAGAGATTCACTTCATAATTTGGAAATAGCTTTAATTTTCTGTGTTTATCCACAGCTGGGATAATCATGAAATTGAAAGGCTTAGTCCTTGGGATATGGAACCTATTTCTGAAAATGGTAAGTAGTTCATACATTGCATTTGAAATTACTTTTTTTAAAAAATCCCAGTGCACCTTATTATGAAAACAACACCTTCATTGTCATATCTTTTTAAGTATTATCAGCTATAATATATAATATAATATAAAGCTATCTTTGTGGAGTCCTGTAGCTCAGTGGTTAGAGCACTCGCTTTGCAAGTGAGAGACCTGAGTTCAATTCCAGGCAGAGGGCGAAACCTTGGGCAAGTTTCCTTACTCCACACAGAGCCTAATAATAATCTCTCCAAAACCAAAACAATAATAAATTGGTCATTTTCAATCTACGACTGTTTGTGGGACATTGCTGTGCGCAATTGGCTGCTGCGTTCGCCCACAAATATACAGTCAATTCACTTTACAGTGTGTTCTGTGCAGTGCTTTGGGACGTCCTCCCGACGTGAAAAGCGCTATATCAAATGCAAGGATTATTATTATTATTACCAAGCAGCCTTAATTAATAAAAATGCATTATATTGTCCAATATAATGGAGAGGGGAAAAAGTGGCTAGAATAATACGACTGAACCTTCAGCTGGCTCACACAGACACAAAAGATTAAATGAATAAACGACCCTCTATTGAAATATCTGCTTATTAGTTATCTCAAAAGCCTGTGCAAGGTTCACTATGTCTATTTAAAATTTTAAGTCTCTTAATGTGAGATCATTTCTGCTACGAGACACTGTTTCCTCATCTAAGAGTTTATCTAGGCTTGTTAACTTTTACTGTAAAAATGTGAATGTGAACCAGTTCCTGATGAGAATTGGTTTCCATGGTTTGTAATAAAAATTTCCATTTCCCCATATCATTTGTGAAGAAGTGAAGCTGCTATATAATGTTTGATTTGTTTATGGGTCTGTTTCAATTCCAGCAATGTATCCCAAAAACCCTGGCTCGAGTGTTCCTGTGACGGTCGAAGAGTTAGAAGCTTTGCTGTACAAACCTCAGGAGGGAGAGTGGGGCGAAAGGTCACGAGATGAAGAATGTGAACGCATCATCAGTGGCATTGATGATCTTCTGACACTTGGTAGGTGCTGTAGAACTTTGTCATAACGTACTTCAATCTGATTATTGCTAATAATTGGAGTGTGGACATCAAATGATGTTAGCATCAGTGCATTTTGTCTGAGAATTTATGGCGAATTAATTCATCTTTGAACCGAAACTATTTTCTAGGCTGCTGGTCGCTCATACCATTAGCAGAATCGAGACTGACAGTAAACCCTCTGTTTCTCCATAAAAGTCCTCGCATTTAATATTTCGCCTTATCATGTCACCCAAATAAAACCTACTTTAAAGTGTAGTGACCGTGCTTTGGTAAGCAAACATTGCAGACAATTTACTACAACAACTTGCATTTATATAGCGCCCTTCATGCCGGGTAGTGTCCCAGAGAGTTTGATGTGCTGGAGTCTGACCCTGAGCCAGGGGGAGTGGCTGGGGTGAGGTGACCACAATCAAAAAGGGAGATCTTTAGGTGGGATTTGAAGGTGGGGAGGGAGGCGGAAAAGGAGAGGATTGAGGTAGAGACTTCTAGAGTTTCGGGGCATAGTGGCTGAAGCCATGGCCACTGATGGTGGAGGGGACAAGGGACGAACAGGAGGCCGGAGCCAGGCGAAGGGAGGCAGCGGTGGTGGAGTGAGGGGTAAGTAAATCGGATGGGTAGGGATGTGCGAGGGAATGAAAGGATTTGAAAACGAGTGAGAGGATTGAGAGAAGGTGTTGACAGGAGCCAATAAATATGGCTTCAGTCTTGCTGACATTCAGCTGTGGAAATTTGTGCTGTCCCACAAACAGTCATGATGTAACTAACCAAGTTTATTGGGAGGATTGGTGGCTAGGACACTGGGAGAAATCTTCTCTTTACAGTTCGTGGCAAAGGATCTGTAACATCCACCTGAACAGACAGAACCTGCCCAAGGATGGCACCTCCGCCAATGTAATCCCTCCCCCCCCCGCCGCCATTTGCACTGGATCGACATCCTAGACTCGTGCTCCGAGACACTAACCTGTGTGAAGGGGCTGCTATATAAGTTGTTGTTGACTTAAGTTTTTTTTCCATAGGAATAGGTCTTAATTCACTGCTGCTGAAAATTGACCTGAGCTATACGAACTTATTTTAACAGATATCGCAACCCCTTTTAATGCTCCTGTGGATCTTCATGCATATCCTGTGTACTGTTTGGTGATTGCCTACCTGTCTGACCTCAGCACTATTAGGAAGAGACTGGTCAACAGATTTTACAGGTATGTGACCTTTTAAGGTATAATTACAAAATGTTGCTTGTTACTTTCAGTAACTGGTTTAGATACTGTCACATGTTTGTTGGCATTCACTGAATTCTCACTTTATAGAGGTGGTGAATGTTAAAATAGTCTTTCCAAAACTATTATGCTGCCATCAGATAATAACACTTGTCATTGATATAGAGCCTTATCACATCATTGAATCGTCTCAAAGCGCTTCACAGATTATATTGTAAAGTGGAATTGAACCCGGCTCCTCGCTATAACTATCAGATAAAGGGAAATGTTGACTTTTTAAAAAAAATTTTTTTTGGGTATGTGCAAGAATACAGTGCTTTGGTCTTGCGTCTTGATATGCGGTGTGTTATTAAAGAGCTATTTCATAGCCAGACACGTTTCTTACCTGGATATGTGTGCAGCAGTTAGGTTTACAGTAACCAGAGTGCAAAATTGTTGAAGCTGTAATCTGAATACCCTTATCTGCAGGAGGATCTCTTCATTATTGTGGGAAGTGAGATACATAGAACATAACGCTAGGACTTTCAATGAACCTGAAAGCCCTATTGTACGATCTGCTAGGAGAATTACTGACCCATTGCTTGAATTCATCGAGTAAGTATTGTGATTTCTTACTCTTAATACAATGAATCCCAATACAGTGACAATATTTTCACAACTTAAGACGATATAGCACTTGCTTAGTCTTGAGAGTGCTCCCACCCATTGGAACTTCCTCCCTCTCTGTCTGTCCTTAAATCCTATGTGAGAAAGTGCTTTTCCGTCACCACCATTGCCTAAAGACAATCTACGGGGTGTCCACAAAGTCCTCACGCCCCTTGGTATACAACAGCGATATGAGACTGCGGAGGAGCTGAAACAAGCTGTCAGATGCATTTGGCCTCCTCACTCCATCCATGTTACAGAAGATATGGTACCAAACATAGCAATGGATCATTATCTGCCATAAAAATGATGTTGTTCATTATTATTGTGCATGTGCAGGGATTTTATTTTCTGTGCCAACCACCTGAATAGTTTGGGTGGAAGCATGCTGCTCTTTCACCTCTGTATGTTTGCTTGAGTCTAGCCTAGACTGAGGGTCCAGAGACTACTGACTATAAGAATCTTGTTTAACTGAGCTTGGAGAGCCTCGACTCTGTTTCCTAGTGAATGTGGGCTCAGAGAAAACAAAAGCCAATTGTTTGCCGAACTTCAAACTATTCTAAATACACTTTGTTTTATTCTAGAAATAAAGATTGCACGGATAGTTTACAAATTTGGCAGGACATGAAGGATAGTGAATTGGATTCTCAAGAGGACGAGGTACAAAAAAGTTTTTAAAATGTTGATAAAGGTGACAAAACGGGCATAACTGTTTTGAGTTTCCAAGTCGTACGATTGACTGTTCATGTGGAATTTTTGATGGGTTGTGCATTTAAATGTAAAGTTTATAAAGAAAGCTTGTAAATGAGAGTGATTTTTGTTTCGACTCCCTATTTTAGGAAGATGACACGACTGATGTTAATATTCCAGGGACTTCTGTCATAAGAAGAGTGAGTAAAGGTTTATATCTTATACGAGAAACACCCCAAAAGTAATGCCTCCTATTTAGTTTGTGCTCGGCGTTTCCATGAATGTTAACCGTGTTTCACAAGGAAACCGGAAAGGCCATTTGCACATCATTTTGCCGTAACGGCATACTGGCACTGGTTCCACAATGCCACAAGATCATGATGGTGACTCTGTGGGGGAAAATAACTGCGCTGGTGTATTTAAAAATGCTTCTTTTGTGTCTATGTTAATTTTTGTAAAGATTTTGAGAAAATAGAGAGGAGACATTATTTTTGGGGAGTCCCTTGTATAAGCTTATATATTGTGTTATATAAGTTTTGTCATATAGGTTTATTTATTACATGGTAATGGTTTATGCTTCCACTGTCCAAACAAAAAAAAATTAAAATAAGATTGTGTAGTTTAGTGGGCATGGCTCCTTTGCTGGAGACTTGGGTTTTGATTCTCAGCCGTTGTTATCAATGGCTGCCATTTATAATAATAGATTCCTTGCATTTGATATGACGCCTTATCACGTTGTTGAGAGGTGCTGTCCTTTGTATGAAGCGTTAAACTGAGATCATGTCTGCCTGTTCAGGTGAACGTTAAAGATCCCATGGCGCTATTCGAAAAGACAAGGGAGTTTCTCTCTTCCGGTGTCCTAGCCAAAAAATCCCCAAATAAAATTGGTCAATCACTCCATGGCTGTTTATGGGACACAAACTGGCTGCCATGTTGCCCACAAAATAGTCAAGCCACTTCAGTATATACTGTGAAGCGCTTTGAAGCGTCACAACGACGTGTTATGGTGCAATATGAAATGCAAGGATTATTATTTTGAGTGTGACTATTCGGTGTAGGTTTTGCATAAGGCTGTGTCTGGTGAGGAAGGATAATAATTTTTTGTTTCTATGTAAAGAAGCGAATCAGGCGCAATTCAAGGCGGGAAGTAAACTATGACATCGATGCGTGGAAGACACAGTGTAAGGAGCTGGTGGAGATCCTCTTTCAGTGTGAAGACTCTGAACCTTTCAGGCAGCCTGTGGACCTATTTGAATACCCGGTAAATTCTGGTTATTTTCTGCAGTTCAACCTCTTGTAGGATGCCCTTGGGACCTCCTCCCAACCTGAGAGGCGCTATACAAATGTAATTTGTTGTTGTTGAGGGCTGGATGCTGAGTTTGAGAAACCTCGGCGGGCCACATAAGTAATATTTTATCCTGATTGCTGGACAGAACCTGAGTCCCTGGTGACCGTCTCCTGATTGGCGTGGGGCCTGTGTGTCGCCTGTATTTGCTCGTCAGCCAATGTAGTTGGACATGGTTCGCGGGCCAGAGGAAATCATCCCCAAGGCCGGATGTGGCCCGCGAGCCGCCAGTTGTCCTACCCCGTCTTACAGGAACTATTTTGACGCTCAAACTGCTAACCTTAGGTTCACGTTTTCCAAGCATTAGTTTTACAAACTTTAATTAGGCTCATTTTCCCACAGCAGAAAACATAATCTTTGAAAGGACATGTTAATTGAGATGCCCGATAACATTTCTCTAAGGGCTGAACATTCGAGCGGACAAATGCTTCACTCGGGGTTAGAGGTTACTGCAGTGAAGCTGCGTTATGGATGCTTTGTTAACAAAAATGTTTTTTAAAAATAATAATTTGATCACTTAGTTCACAGTTTATTGTGGAAAAAAATTAAACTAGTTTTATCATGATTCGTTTCACAGCAAGATTTGCCTGTCTGTTAATGCATTTTGAAAGCTTTCTAAAACTCATCTTACTGATGTTTCTGTAAATTTTATTTTAAAAAAAGCATAATTTAGCTATTTAAATTCTGGTCTGAATTCCTACTTGAAAGATTCATGTTTGTGCCTTTCAGTTTAGATCACCAATGCAGATTGTTTAATATTTTCATATACATGGTAATTTTTCTTATGACATGCATAGTTACACTGAGATGTCTGCCTTCCTAACCTATTCAATATTTCATGGTTGCATCCAGGATTATAGGGACATTATAGACACTCCAATGGACCTGGGGACTATAAAAGAATCGTTAGAAGCATTGAGCTATGACAGTCCCATGGAAATTAGCAAAGATGTCGGATTAATCTTCAGCAATGCTAAAGCTTATTCGCCCAACAAAAAGTCTAAGGTAAGTTCTAGGAACATAGAAATTGATAGACGAAAAAAGACAACTTTCATCTAGTTCACCTTCTACCATCTTGGTAGTCGAATGCTGCAATAATGCAGATGTTGATAGCAATTAATTTAGTTTTTTTTAAAAAAAAAGCTATTTTCACTGACTTATTAAATATGTGGAATTGTGCTTTCTGTTTGAGATGCAGAGAACATGAGTGCTTCATTTTGAAAAGGGTTTGCATTTAGTGATTAGTGATTTGAGATGAACTGAATTTAACACTCAGTGAGTTTAACTAGTGAGTAGCTAAACTATAAGGACAGACTGTATGGGTGCTGGGTTCAATTCTTACTTTGCTAAGCTAGAGCAGGTGTCGTGGCTGACCTCCGCGCAAATAGTTAGGGAGGGAAAAGTTGGTCAGAAATCTCAATCCTCATCCCAATTCTTTGTGGCAAACACACGTGTGCAAATTGGATAAAGGCAGAAGCAAGTTTTGATGCAATGTTTTCTGAGGTTGAAGACAGTCTAATACTCTAACGGTACATATGTTGAAAATTACTTGAGCAAAATCCCAGAGGGTTGCTGATGGAGCCATTCCCCACGAGGCAGAAAAGTAGTTGAATGCTTTGAGGAGAGAGGTCCATTTTTTTTTAAATGTGGTTGGCTCATAGATTGTATAAATTAGTCTGAATGCAGACGCTCGTGAAATTCATAAGGTATGTCTTCCAGATATATTATACAGCACCTTTTACCTTGGGAAGCTGTCTCAAAGTGCTTCATAGTGCTGGATGAGCACCCAAGTTACAGGACATACCCAAACAATGGTGGCATCTCCTACAATATGTAAGGTCTAAAACCAGTTAAAAATTTCAGCTCAAATGAACAGCGTATATGAACACACTTGCTGCTTTTCCCTTTAGCTTTGTGTCAAATCAGTTTGTAGCTGTGCATGTTTGTACACTTATTTTTTGAAAATAATAGGAAGAATTAACAGTGGAGGGAAAGCTCTCCAATGTTAATTGGGAAATAGCTCTCCATTGAAGTTAAGCGTTCAGAAGCCTTCAGGTGTGAAGGGCCCTATGTAAATGCAAGTTGTTGTTGTATTATAACACTTTTGACTCCCTCCTTCCCCCCATTTACAGTAATTTCTTCTAACATGTCTGCAGATTTACAGCATGACTCTGAGGCTGTCTGCATATTTTGAGGATCAAATCCGAACGATCATCTCCGATTACAGAACCGCCCTCAAATACCATCAAAGATGTCAACGTAAACAGAGGTACAAAAAGCGTCCACACAGTTCTGATGCTTCCCGGTCGAGTAGCCGAGCCTCCAGGTACGCTATTTGTGCATCAACTTATTTCTAATAGACTTCTACCAGTGCTCATCACATAACATAGATATATTTTTAATCCATACTGTTATGTCTCCAGGCTGTGCTGTACTTGGCTCAGATTGGTCAGTCAGCTTGATACCCCAGCCACCGGCAATGCCTCATCACTGGCTGGAAGGCTTTCTTTCTTAAAGCATCATTTTTAATAATAATAATCCTTGCATTTGATATAGCGTCACATCGTGTTGATGAGATGTCTCAAAGCGCGTCACAGTATATACTGTAAAGTCAATTGACTAGTTTGTGGGCAAAACACAGCAGCCAATTGTGCACAGCAGTGTCCCACAAACGGTTGTGGATTGAGTGATTGTTTTTGTGGGGGCGGGGGATTATTACCCCTGGAAAGCGACTGAGTTCCTACTTACTGCTAGGTAAACGGAGGTGTGTGGATTAAGGAAATTTGCCTACTATTTCCCCCGCCCAAGAATCGAACCCGCATCCTCTCACTTGCAAGGCAAGCGTGAGAACCACTATGCCATGGGACAATTTTTCTCTCAGTGATGGCCTTCTGGGGAGAATGTGAGTAGGAAGATGACAGTAGTGCTGCGGTGTTGCTGTATAGACTGCACAACAGTAAAAACTACTGATCACTTCACAAGAAAAATGGACACCAAGGAGAGGATGAGAAAAAGTCATTTAGGAAATAGTCGAACCTGACTATAAGGAACCCCCTTGGTGTGGGGAGAAACGATTGTTATATCAGGGTGTTCACTATAGTTGGGTTTGGCCACCAAAGAGGTGCAAAAATCTGGTTTTGCTGTTGGGATTGTTCAAATTGGAGGTTTGTTATAAACAGGATTTGTTACAGTGATGTTCGAAAGTACTGTGCATTTGAGAGGCGTTGTCAAATTACATTGCCAAGAGAGCCAGGAATGAATATTGTAGGAGATGCCACCATTGTTTGGGTATGTGCCCAACCAGCACTGTGAAGCACTTTGAGATGGCCTCCCAAACGTGAAATTGTATCTTATGTATATTGTGTCGTCCAGCTATCTCCCATGAAGTAGAAAGTGACATTTCAGATTGCTAAGTGGTTTACTTTCAGATTGCTGAGAGGTTTAGTTTCAGATTGCTGAGAGGTTTAGTTTCAGATTGCTGAGAGGTTTACTCGTTTCATGCTTTCTGCAGTCCTGAACGAAAACGGAAACCAATAAAGCCTCAGGCCAAAGTGGAACCTATCGCTACCAGATCTACCTCACTGAGTTTATCTCGGAACAGCACAAGCAGTCCTGGGGATAGTGCCTCCAGCGAAGCTTCCGAACATTCTTCCCCATTGTACAGGGTCAGGAATATGAGGCCGAGAACAAATTTACTGAACATCCCCAATGGGTCAGCGGCTTCATCGTCAGGTGAGGAAACTTCAATTTGACTCGAGTTTGTACGCCTGAAATTTCTCTCTTTTTAGCCTTGAAATTATCTTAACATTTTTAACTTATGTCTGAACAATACTATTTTGAGTACTTTTTATGCAAAAAAACTCCACGGAAGCCAGTAGCTTGTTGTATAATGAATGCGGATTAGATAGATTTCTGATAGATTTCCCATCTTTTCCCATTCTCGCCCGACTCCGTTGGCTCCCTTATCTTTCAGAGGATCCAGTTCAAGATGCTGGTCCTCGCCCTCCTAACCCCCTACCAACCCGCCCGTTCCCTCCGCTCAGCCAGCTCTGGCCTGCTCCACGTCCACTGACCCACCATTGCTGGGAGAGCCTTCAGCCACTCTGCCCCCAACCTCTGGAATTCCATTCCCCAGTCACTCCGCCTCGCCCCCTCCTTAGCCTCCTTCAAGTCCCGCCTCAAAACCCTCCTCTTCGACCATACCATCGATCACCTCCCTTCTCCTTCCCTGACTTCAGCTCGGGTCTGAAATGCTTGGGATGTCCTCCTGACATGAAAGGCGCTATACAAATGTAATCTTGTTGTTATTAGGAAATAATATCTTGGGATACACTATATAGTTTGGGACTTGATACATGCATGCAACTGCCAGGATGGTGGAAGGCGAACTAGTGGAGCTTGGTCTTCTTTTGCCAGTAATACTTATGTTCTCATCTCTTCTCATCTCTTCCAGGATCAGATAGTGAAGAATCGAGTTCAAGTTCTGCGGAAGAGAATGAAGGCACTGTGAAATCTACTGCCTCCTCTCCAAATTCACAGAATGGCTCCCTGACAGAGTCTGTGGCTAACAACAGTAGGACAAGAAACCCTGTTGTGTTATCAAGACAAAAGCCAGGTGAGTGTGAATGGCCCACTGAAGGCATCAAACTATTTGGATGACATGCTTCACCTTGCCAAATCTGTGTGGAACCTGGGTGACTTGTTTGACTCTCGACTGTCCTTTAAACCTCACACCAAGACCCTAATACATGCATTCGTCATGTCCAGGCTAGAATACACAAACTCTGCTGATAGTGTTTCTGCTGCTTGTCCAGCTAGGAACATCATACCCATTAGGGATTTGGCTTGGAGGGCAAACATGAGCTGAGTGGGAAGAATCCCTGCCCCCCGCGCCCCCAGTGACTGGTCTGCCCTTCCGCCCTGCTGATGGCTTGGGCTGTCATCAGCAGTGCCCTGAAGTACTGTGGACCCGCCTGGCTCCCCGAGCTTATCATCTCTCAATGGGCAGTGATTTGCTTCACGCCCCCTACCCACCCCACCATCGATGGTCGAGCTTTCAGCCCCCACTCTCTGGCTCCATTCCCAGAGTCGGTTCAACTCGCACTTTCTCTAGTCTCCTTCAAAGTCCGCCCCATCTTCCTCTTTGACCGCGCTTTCGGCCATCTGCCACAGCTCCCTGGGACATCCTCCCATAGTGGTACATATTTATTATGCTCAAACCCATCCTTGGAAACGTTGCTCTGAGTGAACTTTTACTAGCTGGGATTTACAATAACATTTTGTATGGCTTTGGATTTTGAAATGTAAGTTGTAGAACGTGGGAAGGCAAGGGAACCATGATGTTAATCTCAATATATTGATCTATTTGAAAACAACTCTGGAGTTCAAAGTGAACGTTCAATTTTATTTATCCATTTTTTTTACTCTGACACCATTTCTGCCTCTTCGGAAGGAAAGGTGGCACTGTCTCTGTATCAGATGGGTAATTTAGTTCGTTCATTTACAAATGCGCAGTCATTACACTAAAGTGATGTCCCACAGCATAGTGGTTAGAGCACTCGCCTCAGAAGCGAGAGGACTTGGGTTCTATTACTGGGCTGAAACCTTCGGCAAGTTTCCTTACTCCACACTCCTCGGTTACCTAGTAGTAAGTAGGAACCTGGTTGTTAGTAAATTGACGGATCACTTTCTGGGAATAATAATCCCCCCTTCCCCCAATAAAAAAAAATGTGGTCACTCAATCCACGACTGTTTGTGGGACATTGCTGTGTGCAAATGGCTATCCTGTTTTGCCCACAAAATAGGCCATCAGTCCACTTTACAATATATTCTGTGAATCGTTTTGAGACATCTCAACGACGTGATAAGGCGCAATATCAAATACAAGGATTATTATTATAAAATGAAACCTGTGAAGCTATTTTGAGGGGTTTAAGGCTCTATATCAAGTGTAAGCTTTGCCGTTTTGCTTTTCTTTTTCTTGTTAATTGCTGCACAGTCAGTGTTAATTATCAAATGGTTAAAGGACACAGCTTACGATTGAAGGAGATAAATTCAAAACAAATCTGCATAAACATTACTTCAGTGAGCGAGCAGTAAATGTATGGAACGGGCTCCCAAGAGAGACAGTGAAAGCGTAAAGTGTCGATCAATTCTTTCAAGAACAAATTAGATAGATTTCTGTTGGCAAATACCATCTCAGGATTCAATGTATAGTTTGGGGACATGACGTGTCATGCCAGGATGCTGGAAGGTGGACTGGAAGGACCTTGTCGTCTTCCGTCTAGCAAATTCTTATGTTCTTGTGTTCTTAAGTGTTTTGCTTTTCTGCCCCTCTTTTAGAAACTGCGACAGTTGGTCCTCAGGTAAACGGGCACAGGAAAGTGCCCCGTCTAAGCGCTGCAGCGAAGAAACGCAAGATCTTGAGTGACTCTGATGACGATGAAGATGGTGGTGGTGTTGGTGGTGGTGATGATGATGATAATGAGTCCCGTTCCGAGCAGGAGAAAGAGAGAAATAGCGTAGTTAGGAAAAGAAAGTTTTCAAGTCTTTCCGAGGATGAGGACTCTCCCTCTGAAGCAAGGAGTGTGAGGAGGACAGTAAATCTGGCTCCAGTAGCAGCAGGAGTTCCAAGAGTGAAAAAAGCTCGGGTTCCAGCTCCAAGCTGCAATCCCAGACAGACTCGGAATCCCCGTCTGCTTCGGACTTGGACAGTGACTACAATGTAAAAGCAAAGGCAAAAGTAAAGAAAGGGAAAGTGAACCGGGTTAGAAGGAAAGCAAAGTCCAGAGCAGCAGCCTCGAAAGTCACCAGTCGGTTAAAAAGTAGGAAGCGGCAAAAGATTGTGGACAGCGATGATGAGGAGAAGGAGGATGATGATGATGATGATGACAAGGACTCTGATTTTGCAAAGCGAGATCGAGCTTGTCGATCCTCTGCCATAAAGACCAGAAATCAGGGCAGAAGGACTGTCAGATACGACGACGATGATTCAGACACTGACAGCCTCTTACACAATGAGATTGCCAATTTAGCCGTGTCCAGGTCAGGGCGGGCGCGACGGATTCCCGTGCGAGTAAGAGACTGAGAAGCAGCCATCCGTTGGCGTGATATACCACTGTGAAATTTATTTCTCTCAATTTCAGGGATTATATTTATATTTTTCTGAATTTCATTCTTTTCTTTGGCGTAGCGGGGGCTGTTCGGGGTTACGGAATCATGTTTGATTTTTGCAAACCTTTTAAAGGACATTATCGTCACAGCGCATAATAACCCAGCTGCAAAAAGGCCAGTGTATTGGTGTCCGTGGACCACACTGGGGGGGGAGGGAGGCGTGCAGCTCAGTTTTTGTTTGCTGTTTAAGCACTACAGTTAGAGAGTATTTATTTTGCTGCCTTGCATGTATTTTTAAGCCAACAGAACAGCAAACAAAACAAAAAAAATTCCCTTTCATCTCTTCAGTGTTCAAAACAAAAGTGACTTTTGCATTGAAACTTTTACCGGATTACGACAGTAAGTAAGAAAACATTGCCGCGTTCTATCATCTTTTCTCTTGGATTCCTGACGACCACATTGCATTGATTGAATTTGTGATCAAAAATATTTTGTTTCGACCAAGACCCCACGTGTGACTTTTAATGCCAGTTTAGGGAGTTCTTGGGTATGTGTGTTGGGGGTGGGGAGGCGGGGGGGGAGTGAGGGGGAAACTGACTTCCAATATTCTGTTAAAAACTGGTGTACTATATTGCACAAAAGCCTGTAAATGATTAGAAAACTCTTGGTGTATTAGGCCCCAATATTCCCTATTTTTTTTGCTGTGTGAGGTTTTAACCTGGCAGTAAATCTATGGGGGAAAATTCCACCCGGGGGAGTATAGATTTCTGTAGCTATTTAGATCGTCCAGAATGACTTTGAAGTTGTTTTTCTGCAGCTCTTAAAGCAATATGCAGAAAACCGTGCTTCAAAATTTAAAGCCGCGTTTTCAAATTTGCCAAAATTCTGAATGCATTAAAATGCTGTGTGAATAGAGTAAATCATAGGCCGGAGTGAAATTTCTACCCACTAGTACTTTTATACATTAAAAACAAATTCCTTAGTGAGTGGTCAACAGTTGACTACGTCAGATGAGCCAGCCGTTTCCTCCTCTGGTTTGGTGGGGACGGAGTGGGGGGAGAGGCGAAGAAAAATATGTTGATTTAATATACTGCTGGCTTACTGTTGCATAAATTATTCCTAAATTTTTTCCACTTTTTTTTTAAAAAAAAGGGGGTCGGAGGTGGCCATTGCAGTACTGACTCGATTTATGTTGAAGTTACAGGTTCAAAAAGTAGCCTCTGTTTAGCTCTGGATGCGAGGGAATGAATCATGCTAACCATGCTCCTTTTCTTCATGGAGAATTTTATTTCTATACCTTTGATTTCAAACTTCAGCGACTTGGGCTCAGCATGTTATTCAATATGAGTTCATTTTGGAACAGTTATGCAACTATCTTCCACCAGGTCTTTTTTGGGCATAATGTGCCTTAACTCCGTGCCCAAACACTGGCATGTCAGCGTGACAACATCGGTACCTACACTCTTGGGGACTTGGTTTGCCCAAACAAAATTGTGTAAAATATTACAACCTTTTTTATATGAAAGAGATTATAAATCAATTTTACCATTAGAGAACCCCCCCCCACCACCACCTCTGACTACTTTTCAGGAACAACTTCCCCTATTTTACCTGAAGGCGATGCTGAAGGCAAGCCTCCCAATGATACATCTGCCCAATGAGTTCTCAGCAGGTTATTTGATTTACTTGGGTGGTGGGGGAAGCAGTCAGCCGGGTGTCTGACACCCGTGGAAACCCATCACCGTGCTTCAGAGTATCCAAACCAAGCTGAGAATTCCACGCATCCCACCTACACATGAAAATCCCAGAGATAGATTGTCGGAATGGAGTGCGCACTCCCTCCCTGGAGGGACTCATCCTGCTCACCTAATTCTGAAAAGTATTAGGCACAGGTCGGCAAGAGCCAAGGCTTGGGGATTTTCAGAGTGTGCGTTGGGGGTAACTGCTGGAGTCTGACCAGCTAAAACTGCATAGCTTGCCATTGATGTTATTTGATGGGAAGGGGTGGTGGGGGGGGGGAAAGAGAGATCGTGTCCTCGCCTGACATCTGCACAATGCACTTTGCAGCAACAGTCACTGGATTGTGGTTAGTAGCAGGAGCCTAGACTACCCCCCCCCCCCCTCCCTCTTCTCCTACACCTCCTTTCCTGTCCAGGGCACATTTGTGATCTCACCACTGCTCCAGTTGAGATTGGCTAACTTAGAATTTACCAGGTATTGAACCAGCACCTTTCTGGGCTGCAATGCAGCGCAATGACCCAGCGAATCATTGGGAGAAATCCTACAAAGTATCGATCCCTCCAATAAAGCTCGTGCAAATTCACTTTTACGCGAACACAAAAATACGATATGAATTTTTGGGGCTTAAATCGATTTAGTAATTGGAAGGAGAACAAATTTATTTTTTTAAATAAAAGTGTAGAACTTTAACAATTTAGTGCTGGTTATTGGTTTGTACTTTGTGTGTAATAATGTGAAGATGTACCTATCGGAGAGTTCGCTGAATGGTTCAGAAACTGAATACTCCTTTTGCGTCCTGTGGACAGCCGCTACGAAGTGTACTGTGTTGTAAAAAAAAGTGTTTTCATAGATTATTTTATTTTTCTATTCGTCACTTAAAACTCTTGATTTGCTTTTAGTATTTTTTTGGGTCTTTTTACGTCGCATTTGAATTGTACTTGAGGTTTTTTATTTTGAAAGAAAAGAGACAAATTTCAAGAATCAACCCAGAAAACGTCTGGGTCTTACTTTCCTTTGGATTTTTGGTTAGCTCGATCCGATTGACCCGAGTGCTCTCCTTTGTGCAGTACGGACACTTCGGAGAGAGAGAGAGAGTGGCTGTTTGGCCATGATGAAATTAAATATCTTCATTCCCACCCTGTTAAGTCCTGCAGTGCATTGGTTAGCGCACTCGCCTCATAAATGAGAGGACCCAGGTTTGATTTCCGGGCTGGGCGAAACAGTAGGCAAGTTTCCTTACTCCACACGCCTCCACATTGTGTGACCTAGCAGTCACTAGGCACCTGGTTGTTAGTCGATCACTATTCTGGAGGTAATAATCTCTTCCAGAGGGGGACACTGATGTGCGCAATTGGTTGCTGCCCTTCTCCAGTCCATTCAATTTACAGTATATTCTGTGAAGCTCTTTGAAACGTCTCAACGGTATGATAAAGCGCTATATCAAATGAAAGGATTATTATTATTAAGGGAAAAAAACACAGAAATGGTGAATCTCAAGACGCTGATAAATTTTTTGGCTAATCCCAGCACCATTCTTCAGAGATGGCGATTGATTGATCCACTTGCACTCTGTTTGGCTTCTTGCATCGTTCCCTTTTGATCGTTCAAAGCACACACTACCTGGGGGGGTAAGCCACCGAAATACTCAAAAGCGCAGAAATTTTACCTTTAAGTGATTTAGGTTTTCATGGGCATAATAGGCCGTCGATCTGGGAGATGAGGAGTTTGCTCCTGGCATCACTTGGGGTGTGAGAAGGGGTTTCTGATAGCAGCAGCAGTTTGGTTCCGAAAGATGCAGTGTATACAAACGTTTAAAACAGAAGTGACCTTTTCAGTTCATCCACAGTCATCTGCGTGGATTTCTTCTGTGAACATTTTGGTGCCTTTAGTTTTTGTCTGTGCCCACAGTGATGTTGGATTGGGGTGGGCGGTAGGGGAAAATCTTATCTATCAAGTAGCAGTTGTCCTCAGGAACCTTTTCTGAATTGCTTTGAAACGCTACTCATTTCAGTTCAGTATAGTGGGACACTTCCCCGCCCCCCTCCCACCCCCCCTTATGTACTGTGTTCTATTTCCAAAGTGAAGCATGTGCCAGGATTATGGATGGATATATTTTTAATTTTCGGGTGGTGGGGGGGGGGGGGGGTAGCGGGAGTGGTGGTTGGAATGTTTGGAGGAGGTAGGGAATGGTAAAGGATGCGGAGATCTGCTTTCTGAAAAATTAATCTCTTGAGTTATCTTCCACCTCTGAATTGTGTTATGTAAGTGAAGCGCCTGACCTGTTTTACGGTGTTAATAGTCTTGCAGATGGGTTTGAGGCCAGGAGAGCAGAGAGAGAAAGAGCGAGAGAGAAAGGGAAGAGAGAGGAGGAGAGAGAATGGTGCTAAATCTATACATTGGAACAATTTTAAATTTTAAAAAAAACTACAATTAATTTGTAGCCTGCGATGCTTTGCACCACGGTTTAATTTTCTAGTTGAGAGAGATCTCTTTTTGCTAAGAACACCATTTTTTTTGCTATCATTTCTATGAAGCAAAAAGGCTTCCAAGTGAGATGCCAAAAGTACTGCTATTATAGTTGAGATAAATCAGTGATGAATGTAACCACGTTACTTAAAAGAACAAAGCTGAGTGCCTGCATTAGTGTTAAAAGTACCTCAGTTATCAACTGACACTCGGGTAATTTATTCCCATCATGTAATGCCTTGGAGCACCAAATTGAAAATGCAGCAATTAGGTATAAGTTTGTTCCTCTTGTTTTGTGTCCCTCGCTCATTCGCAGCGAATAGTTCGGAGATTGGGCAAAAGTGCTTGCAGAGATCGAGTTTTTGTTCGCATGAATTGTACTGATGGCTTCAGTGAAAGCGTCTCAGTTGCTAAACCGTTTCAGACAGAAGGGATAGTATGCGTTCCGAGCTCAAGTATTGAGCGGTTCCACAGAATTCATTGCCGTGGCGCTTTTTTCCTCCCCCCCCCCCCCCCCCCCGCCCTTCTTACCAAATGTAAGAACACGTTTCTGAAGCACTCCTATTAACTAATCAATCGCTGGGCCCCAGGGGGTGGGGGGTGGAGAGGGGTAGGAGGGGGGTGGCTTTCTTGTTGTCCACCCATCACTTTATACCACGCAGTTTGTTTGTGAGTAAATCACAACTACAGTCACACCTGTCTTCAACAACCGCCCAGGGACCGGGACAAGATTCCTAAGTCTGTGCAGAATGCAGTTGACACTAAGTGCCCTGTTACCCCAGTTGCTTTTCCTGCACTAACCCTCTGGCCGACTTCAATCTTGCCTCGCGTGTAAAATCATCAGCTGCTGCCAACGCAACAACAGGTAAGCGGGGTCTCGTTGGGAGCTGAACTGGCTCCGAGGTGACGTGTGTGGCAACGGAATGTCAGAATCGAGCCAGCCCTCCCGTGACGGTCTCCAGTCCGGTTCCCGAGCCCAGCCGGTCAGTCCGCAGTATTCCAGGGCACTGCGGATGACAGCACAGCCCGGCCAATGAATCAGAAGACCTTACTCGTAGAGGTATTAATGATTAATATTTTTTTAAAAAAAAAAGACAACATTGGTAAGAGACTGTGCAGTTATTTACGGAAGATGCCTTTCCCGCTCGTGAAAGATTTTGTCACCGAGTTGATATGTGTACGTGACTTAACATACCATGCAGTTTGAACATCTGTAGGATCGAGGAGTAAGGACTTTTGATTCACTCGGTAAAACATAACACGGGTTGGCAAATTACAGCGTGAAACTAGCCAATTGACACATGAGTGGGGGTAACGTCAGTAGTGAATTTACATTTACATTTTTTAGGAAGTTAGACTGTGCCACTGGTTTGGTTCTCAGGATACCCGGAGAAAGGAACACTAATTCTTGTAGGACTGTTAAAATCAGGTATGAAGGTTATTTATAATGTACACATTATAAGACGCAGTGGAGTTGTTTTGGATTTACAGTACAGTCAAGATATTAGGTTGGAAGATGTGTTTTTTTGGGGGGGAAGGTGTTAATGTGCCATTTTCAGCTGTGTTGCAATGCTGTGTGTTCCCCCCCCCCCCCCCCCACACACACACACACACACAAAGCTCCTATTCTCCGCTCCTGGGTGTGGGAGAGAAAAATCATTCCCATAAGCTTCAGTAGCTCGCTCCCGATTACACCCATCCTAATTTCGACTTCCTCATAAAGATACTTTTTGGGGGGTTGGTTGGTTCTCTAGCTGGGATTTTTTTTTTGGGTGGGGGGGGAGGGGGCGGTGTGTGAGTGGGGAGAAGAGTAGGAGCTTCTGTGGGAAGTGGGGTGTGGGGGGAGTCTTCTGTTGGGAGGGGGTCTAAGTGAACACTTGTAATTGATGGATAAATCGACGGGTCACCCTTGTGGAATACTGTACGGTCTGACATT